CCACACGAAGGAACTCGTTTACGTAGTCCTTGCGAGACTCGCCTTCTTTTCGTGACTCTTTGCCGGGTGTTCTTGTCTTCAGAGCAAATCGCAATGTGTCTTTGACCTTTAGTGTCGCGTAATGGAGGTCTTCCTCAGGATTGTAAAGCACCTCTGAACGATATTTCTTGCCCATCTCGTCGGCATCTGTGCCACCGTACGAGACATCGCCTGTGATCTCTTCAAATCCGTACCGTTGATTACCGATCATCTTGAGAAATGTGGAACAACCAGCTCCCGGTCTTCCGAGGACTAGAACCATCTCACCAGGTCTTATGCATCCAGAGAAGTCATCTAGAAGAGTTCCTAGATATTGGTGTAAGAAGTCAGTAATTGTCTCACATACAGTTTGTACAAAGATACCACTTACGAACAGGGGGCTTTCCGGCTGCCTGACGCGGCCCCTTGGTTACAAGGTTCTTGATGAGCCGAACTAGGTTCAGGAAGATATCTCCAACACTTGGCTGCAAAGCTGCTCCAATCCCCATGCCCTTGACTGTCAAGTGTTTAAATATAACACCTTGATGCCGGGTTTTCTCTTCTTCTGATGCCTCCTGTCTAGTACGCCCGAACATCTTCGACATGAGTTTGTTGATCTCATCTTCTTCCTCCTGGCTTCGCCCCGAAGCATTAGTGTTAGGCTTGCTGAGGCCGTTATTCTGACTCGTCATTCGTCGGGACAAGGCGCGGAACAGATCGTCTTCTGTCATGGGTCTGGAGTTCTTTGACTGCAAACCAGGCCGTTTCGCGACAGCGGCAGGCTTGGTGGATGGCTCGCCAGCTTCATGTTCCGAATCGGATGAGTCGTCTTGAAGAACTACATGTTCCTCAACTGGGTCTCCCGATGTCGTCTTTTGAAGGTAGTCATTGCCAGGGGTAGATGGTGTGATAACCGCGTTTCCAGACATGGTTTCTTTGGCTTGTTGTTCGTTTGTAACATCCTGGTTTGACCGGACTTCTGGGGATGCTACCACTGTGGAATTGGTTGAAGCTGTAGACAATTGCGTGCCATCTGCACCGTAATAGCTCCGACTGCTGGTATGTAAAGCATTGGAAATGAAAGTGTTGTGCGTGTTTGCGTTGTCGTTGTCGTCTGACACATTTGAATAGAGATTGGATTGTCGTTCCAAATCGTTATGTGAGCGCTGTTGGTTGGATCCTAGAGAATTCTCCGTAGTGTCGTTGCCAGACGCCATCGCGAATGGTTCCAAATTTAGGGGAAGCTAATTGATAGCAGTAATCGTCGTGAGGCTATTCTGAGGACATCCACTATACAATGATCGACAATAAACAAAGATGGCTGGAAGTGGCCGTTTGCGACGGTCTCAAGGGACTATCCGCGAAATTTACTGACTTTGCTGGGATTCTAGACGAAGGGCACAAGACTATAACATAGTCACCGTGCCAGGTAATTACGGTTTGCTGCGTGCGCACGCTTATTGCGGCCTCCATGTTTGCGACGCGTCGAGAGTTCGGGGCGAAGTAGTGATGTCATCATGTTGATGTTAGACTCAAGATCGGTAAATCGGAATCTAGCCTCGTATCCGAACCGAGAAGTGATTTGACGCCTCTTTGATCGATGCACGATCTGGCACGCACGCGATCGCCCCGCGGAAGCGCTAGGTGTCCGCGGGGAGCGGAGAGTTGGTGGTGCGTGGGCGTTTGGATAAAGCAGCGCAGTCGCTCCAGAAGCAAATGTGTGCGCAAGCTCGACTTTTCGATAATGTTTTCCCTACATCTCTTCTTCTAGTTGAGTAAAGGATCTAATACTGCACATTGCAGTACTTGCGCGCTGTTGGGCAAGGTCCTAGAGTTGCTTCGTGCAAGGGGCAATACTGCAATTCATCGATGCGTCAGGCAAGAGGAGCCAAGCGGTGCTTGTCAACACAGTCACTTGGCCCTCGCTCCAACTTTCGACCGATGCAGATTGACAATTTCCTTATCCAGTATCCATGCCGCGATTCACCAATTGTGCACTCATAAAGTCCTTCGATATTCTTTCTTCTCGTACTGTTCCGGACATGAGCACTTAGTGTAACACAGTCGAGTTAAAAACCAGAGCTATCACACGCTCGCCAGCATCGGCCAACGTATCAATTGCATATAAGTGATAAATGAAGATGAAGATGAAGATCGAGTCACAAGGTGTACAGATACGAACAGTCTGACCGGTACAATGGGATGGGTTGCTATCGCATTCGAATACTACATATTCAATCGTGCAGAGGCAGCATCCTTGGAGAGACTCGTCTTTTGAATGGAAAAGCTAACCCGATGTTATACATTATGATGTGTTGCTTCAACTCGTGCACATGGAATATCGCAAATATGTTATATGTACATTCTGCTCTGTATTACGTATAGTGTTTGTGAATCATATAATATTTGAGTAACTCTGACGCCAATATAGTTATTGATATATGTAAATTTTGTTTAGGATAATAACGATTGTGGGATTGTAACTATCAGTGGCTTATCGTCTATTGGTCAAGTCATCACAGTACCGAAGTAACTTCAATGAAAGCAAAACTAATTCCAGCTCGACCACAACAGTAAATTAGCAATCACAAAAGATATCTCCTTTTACTAACAAGCAGAGAAGGATAGCTTGCCGCTTCTGGGTTCACTCGAGCTTAGGTACCACTTATCGTTAGCTACCTAAGTGAGTAAGCAATCCCTTTTGGCTCCTATCAGTAATTACCAACTGCGAATTGTCGCAGGCCCACTTCCCTCACATGCAGAATTCTTGTCTAAGTAACCTTCATCGACGATTTCTACAAAGCCGCCTCATCCATGTTCCTAATCCAGCCCCACATCCACTTCACGGTATCCAAATGCGCTTGCACTCCAACTCTCTCATCGACAGTGTGGATATTTCCTAGACCAACCTGCTCCTTGTCCCAACCTGGCCCATACCTGAAGATGTTTTCGCTCAAGTCCCAGTAATAACGCGTATCCGTGTTACCGGTCATGATACCAGGGCTCACAAGAAGTTCTCTACCGTAGAGGGCGCGGGTGGTTCCCGAGAGAATTTGGTAGGGCGTCACAGCCTTGTTAGAGGCAGAGGTGTGGAGAGAAGTGGGTGTAACGGGTGCTGGTTCTAGCATTGTGGGTCCGTGGGAGAGAGTGATGCTAGAGGGGGTTTCTGTGCCGTTGAATGCATGCAGTGTGAGGTTGTACTTGTGCGCTACCTGAGCTGCAAGGGACGAGATGTGTGCTTTAACATCCGAGGAGCTTGAACCAACGTTTATGCGGTGGTTTACGGTTATCTGCGTGCGCTCAGGAAGTGCGTTTGTTTTCACGCCACCGTGGATTATGTCGACTGCCACGGAGGTCGTGAAGAGATATTTTATGCCTGGTCCCGCTTTTGCTGCTTCAAGTGCGAGAGCGTCTTTTGTTGGTTTCTTCGAACATGTTGCGCTTCGTTTAGAGCGCTTGTCGAGCAGTTTCCCTAGATGGCGGGGAAAGTCTGAGGCATGCTCGGCACCGCATTGGAGGAGACCTAGGTAAGGGTTTTCGTCAAAAAGATGAGGCTCGTAAGGGTTGGCTTCTATCAAAGTGATGAGCTCGCTGGCGACGCCGATGCCGTTGTGCGGTGGAGGGATGCTGCTGTGGCCGCCAGGCATGCGCACGACAATGTCAACGTCGACGTAGCCTTTCTCGGCGACACCAGGGATTGCGAAATTTGCTCCCCAGCTCTCAACGTTTACTGCGCCTTCATCGACGATGGCAGCGATGGAGTTGTGTCCAAGTTTCTTGACCAGGTAGTCCGCAAGGTGTTGCGCACCTTCCCGACCAGAGATTTCTTCATCGAATCCAAACGACAATATTAATGTTCTCTGAGGAGTAAAGCCAGCAGAAATCAACGCCTCCACGCTATTCAAAATAGCCATCAACTGGTTCTTGCAATCGCTCGCACCCCTACCCCAAACAAACTTCCCGTCATAGTGACCTGAGAAAGGGGGGTAGGTCCACTGCTTGACTGTAGAATCCGGAACTGGCACAACATCCTGATGCGCCATGAGCAAGTTAGGCTTCAAGCTTGCATCCGTGCCAGCCCACGTATACAGCAACCCATGGGTATTGACCTTCTCTAATTGCAATGTCGCGTGCGTGAGCGGAAAAGTTTTTCCAAGATAGTCTGCGAAAGAGTACATGATATCCCATCGCGGATCAGATCCGATCTCGCCCATGTCATCGTAGCTTTGCGTGGGGATCTTGACAGCACCCGATAGACGCTCAATGGCAACATCACGAAAAGCGTCCGATGTCAGGTAGCTCTCCATTTCATCCAACTCTTTCGTCCTCTTTGTCGGGAACAAGGGTTCGACTTGTAGGCATTGCGCTCCAGACTTGGCGTTGCTTAAGTCTGAAGGAAGGTGCCATGACGACGAGATGGGGGTGGTTGTATGACGTAGGAAAGCCAAAATTCCCAAGCAAAAGACAGCGCTGCCGATGAATTGACGATTGTACGATGGTCTGTACGACTTTGGAGGAGGTGCAGCTGATGTCTGCTTTTCCTTGTTATTGGCCGCCATTGTGATGAGTATTGAAGGTCGAAGGCTTGGAAGCTTGGAGCTCGGAGCGCTGGTTATGGACATTACGCGGGGATAACCGACCTCGGAGTAGTACGTACATACTAGTCTCAATCAGGAAGGTACATTCACGGACTGCAGTATTATTATCGGGTCGTCGAAACACTCGTATCTACTTCCCTGTCATCGTGTGCTCGGAGTGTAATTGCATCACAAACTGCTACAATCTCGCAATCGTTGCGCTCTCGAGGAACGCAACTGACACCATCTGTGACAAGTGAAAAAGAGATCATTCTCATCTGGATAGCTCCACCGTAGCCATCTCCAAGTCGTGTCCACTGTGGTGTCATATCCACAGAACGTAACGTACAATTCCCATCAGTGTTTATCGCCCCCACTCTTCAACATCGCCACCTATTTACTCCATCAAGCCTGAAACTTCCATCTCGGATGACGATCACCCATGGCCAGATCCTCCACTGTGTCGTGGAAACCGCGAGTATCTGGTTTCTCCAATAATATCCTCTCTTTCTCCTTGTTCTCCTTCTTCAAAACCACCAATAATGCCCCGACAACGACCAGATTCAGACATGAATACCCAAGTGCAAAGCTGTGCCCAAGAACGTATCGCGGCCCGGAATTTGCGCGGTACAGCTGCGTACCCAGCACTGCTCCCAAGTTGCCGATGCTGATCTGCATGGCATTCGCGGTCGCTCTCTTCGTCTGTCCACTTACGTTGATTGCAGGCCAGCAGAGGATCAACGCGACGGACGGGTATATTCCGATAGCGGCAAAGAAGGTCCCAACGTAGGAAACACCTGGCCGTGCCTTGGGATCGGTGTTCGCGAGCAGGATAATGTATCCGATGATCGCAACGGTGGACGTCGTGAGGATGAAGAGTGCACGACGGGCATAGCGCTCAGAAAGTATCGCCCAGAAAATCGTGAAGATTGTCGCAACCGCATAAGGTGGGATGGTAAGAAGTTGAGACTGGGCTGACGAGTAACCCATATCCCGAATAATCGTTGGCTTTTTACTGTTAGACAGGGATATTTGACGCATTCAGTAGTGCAAAGCGGCTGGCTTACCAAGAACAGTGATAGAGTATACAAAGGTAGACTCATAGTATGAAAGGCCAAGGCATACAACCAGATCTTGATGTCCTTGGCTGCAACCCGCACTTCGGCCCATGAAAACTTCTCGTCATTTGTCGCGTCACTATCAGCCTTCAGGCGCGCTTGTACAAAGGCTCGCTCTTCTTTACTGAGCCAGCTGACTGTGCCGGGATAGTTGGAAATGAACCAATATGCGACGATTGCGATCACGATCGTGAGAAGGCCCTCCTATAAATTTTGTTAGTATAAGGACGACCCACGGACAAGCATACTTTCCAAAATGAAAATCCATCTCCAACCAGCATATCCGCCAACATTGCGCATATGCGCAATGCCCCAGGCTAGGATCTGAAGCAGTCAGTACAAGCGATCAAACTTGCGATGTGGGCACAACATACTCCACCAAAAGCTCCAGCAAGTGAAGCGCAGCTGAAGAACAACGAGATGCGGTACTGGCGTTCGTTTCTTTTGTACCACATTGAAAGGTAGTACACAACGCCTGGAAAGAGCCCGGATTCAGCGACACCCAAACTGTGCTCAAGTCAGCCCATTTGTTTTAGTGCATTGCTTGTACGCTAAGTACTTCCCAACAACTACTCACAAGAAACGCACGGCAAAGAAGCCCTCTCGATTCTGTGTGACACCCATCAATGTTGCGACAACCCCCCAGACCAGCGTGAGTGTCGGTAGCCAAAATTTCGGCGTAGTTCGCTTGAGAATGATGTTGCATGGAATCTCGAATAGTACGTAACCGATGAAATACAGTGTAAGACCAGTGAGATATTGGTTTCCAGTCATATGTAGGTCGTCCGTGAGGCCTTCGATACGGGCGTTGGCGACTGGTGAGAAAGGTCAGTATAAGGTGCATTCGTTGTGGGTAGGGCGCGTAGCACCATTGCTGCGATCAAGAAAACTCAACAGATATAACACTGAAACCGCGGGAAGTAACCTCAGATCCAGTGTTCTTAGCAATTTCTTCTCGTTGATGGTACCCTGAACAACCTCTACATCGCTGTCAGATGAGTCGGACACGGCAGGCGCGTTGTGCTTCTCCGATGCCATGATAACGGTCGCACTGGAAATGGACCAGAGATGTTGAGATGATTTTTTTCCATTTTGCGACAGCCGGGCACTAACGCCTACTTATCAACTCGCTATTCTCGAATTCTCCATAGCTTGGGATGATGCAAGAACGTGGGTTGAGCAGCTCAAGCCGCCGCAGCGTCATGACCATGGGCTCATGCACATACCCAGGCATGATCGTGGGCTGTCATTGGAGCGCATGGCACGTCGCGTTCGATGCGAGGTCTGATGCATGTTGACAGGTCCAGCTTTCCTCGGCATCGTTGCATAACATGGCGGAATGTTGCAAGGGCTTATGAGGTCTGGTTGTACACGAAATCGAGGGGTGGTATGTCGTGATTGTAGATCGCTGCTACTAGCCGCCTCTGGTATAGGTCCGGAAGAACCGCGTTGCCATTCGCTGAAGACCACACGTAAGACATCTTGAGCGAGTAAGCAAATTCCTAGCCTTCTCAAGCTGTTTACTTATCTATATAGACATTCGCGCTTCTGATCTGGTGGTGGAGACCGCCTTACACATCGATTAGCGTTTCCGCATCAAGATGGATGGGTGCTAAGATAGGTGGAATGCACACTACGCTGATAGAGAGTGGAAGGATACTACTATCAGTAGAAAGTCGTTGTCGGATATCATTATAGATAGGTTAATCTACCTAACCCTAGGTAATCCGACGTCGTCTTTCTATATGTGAAGTTGTCCTCTCATTACACCTCTCTCGCTCTGGCCTTTCTTCTATGACGCCCTGTGAATCCTGGGCGCTAACATCAGGAAATTCGAACCTCACGTTGTTATTTACCACCTTCTTCCCTGGTGGGTTCGTTGCCTCACAAACCACCTCTTTCGTCCTCTTTATTAACACGCCTAGCTCTCTCTTCGGTTTCAGTCCGAAAGCGCCAACCCACCTCTCCGCAACTGCGATCGTATGTAACCACCTCACTCGCCTCCAGCTACTGAGCTTGTACTCGTGTAACAAGATATGCCCCAGTGTGTGTATATCCCTTCGAGCCCGTGTGAGCAAAGCCGTAGTCTTCTTCTCGCCTACCACATACTCGCTACTCGTCTCTCGATTCAAAGAAGGTAACACATTCAGCGCGTCATGAAGTCGGCGCTTGTTGCTCAGAAAGACGTTTTGTGCGGTGAGATCGCGGGCAGGCGGATGCATGTAGCCAGCGGAAAGGCCAAAGATACCCCAGCCGAAAGACTCTTGTGGAAGGGAGCCTCTAGCGAGTATCTCCTCAAGGACCGCGACTGCGCAGTCCCACAGGAGTGTGAAGAGGTCTGGGTCTTCCTTCCCTGACCCAGCGGGTTGGGCGCTATATGTGCAATCTTGCGCTGCTGCGAAGGAGAGGGCGAGAGTGTTGAGCGATGGGTCTTGAGGCTTCGGATGCCGAGGCGGCCTCACATCGCGCGAGAAAACTGTTGTATTGGGTTGCTTGCTATAAGGTCCATATAGCCCTACCATCGATTTGGCGTGCTGTAAAAGATGTAGGAAACGCTCGATGTTGGTCATGGTGATAGCGTCAGCGATAACGTCTTTGTTGAGTTGCAACGCTGCTATGTCGTTCTCTTTCATCGGAAGTTGTCTATTAAAGTAGCTGGAAATGGTCTTTGGTGTAGATTGATCTTTGAGATTGCGAGGATTGTACGACCAACTGGTATGAACACGCCAGGTGATGGAAGAGTACGATCGGCTGGCTAGACGACGTTCGTTAAGATCAATGTGGTAAGACAAAAGCTGCAGGAGCGAGACCAGGAACCAGGAAATGATTAGTATAGACACATCTGGTGAATGACGTGAATCACAATCAGCGTCGGTGAATGTGTTTCATCCAGATGACGCCACGCTCCGTCGTCTCTCTCACTTTCTTCTGGACACCGGTCTGGTGACGCTAATCTGCGTGTATGGCGACTAGCCGTACCAGTGAAGGCCATGCTGTATGCTTGAGAGAACGTGTCTTTCACGATAACTCGACGTTTTATCGTCAATCGTTCGTGCGTTTGAAAGGTTGTATCTCGCGTTTGCTCGACTTCGGATACCGACAATACTACAGAACACATTCGAACAGCTCAATCGGGTATGCGGAATTTTCCAAGGCTTAGAATACTCCCGCGAGTGAAGCTGTTCCTGAGACTGTCACGGAGGTGAAGCTTTGGCGGACCCTCGTACTCTTGCTGAACCGAGACGGTATGTACGATTTGCCCTTCCGGGGGTTGCGGCAGATCCGCGTCTGTGACAACGATCTTTGGCGGCGGGATGTTGTTCTCCAGGTCTATGTCTTCAGGTCCATGGATCTGTATAGAAGTCATGCCTCCATGCTCGGTAGGCACTAGGTCAGACGGACTTAAGCTACGTCGGTATCCGCGACGATTCTTTCGCTTCTGGCCGATGACAGAAGGGTAGTAACTACGACCTCGTTCGTGCCTAGGTGCTTCGCCGAGACCCAGCTTCCAAAGACAGTGACGGACGAGCGGACGAAATGTGGCGATACTCCCCGCTGTTATCCCGATTCCTGGTTCAATGGTGCTCCATAGAGCAACATCGGTGGTAGCATATAAGAAGTCGGGGCCTTCTACAAGTGTGTGGATGTAAGCCATGCGAATGACTGTACCGGTGCTTCCGATTGCCGCAAATGCAAGTATCGATGCAACCAACACCTTTGTCTTCGGTCTCATCTCTAGGCCCCAAACAATAAAAAACGGAAGCAGCCCAAATCCCCAATCAGCGAGTGCGTTGACTGCGGCAAGCGCATAGGTAATGCCTAAGGTGGGCCCTTTTGGTATGCACTTGCTTGAAGCTGGGTGCTCCAGCCAAAATGCAGAGACTGTATTTATTAGCAAGTGCGGAAGGTGAGCGTCGGAAAAGGTCTTACTGGGTAGACACTGAAGCATGACTAGGAAGAAGTAAATCAGACCACATAGTACCGTGCCTAGCATTAGCAATCTGATGCACCAGATGTGCCAGCGTTCAATGGCGACCCTAAGGTAGAAATAGCCAATAGCAAACTTGAGCAGGCAGTTTGCTATGACGTAGAAGATTTCACACAAGTACCAGAACTGTGTTGAGTTAGACGCGAGAATGCTAAGTAATGACGTTGAACTGACCATGAGTGCAGTCTTTCGATCATGATCGCTCAAATCCCATCGATGCCTTCCAGTACCATGTATCGCGGCAATGATCTGACATGGCAGGTACATCGTGAAGACCGCCTACAGAGTTTGATAAGCACGGCCAACGGCATGTATCCGAAGTGTGACAACTTACTAGCGACGCAACCATGAACGAGTCGTCTTTTCCCCATGTCTTCATCAATATCGCTCGCACATAAACTCGTAGGCAGACCGTCGTCCATGTGAGCACGAAGAACAGTGCAGCCACAGCGAATACTTCGCGACTGCGATCGTCCTTGCTCATATTTCAGGCTCTGCTCAGCGGTTCCGGTTTCGTACATCCATTCGATACGTTGCTTGCCAATCTTCGTGCAATGGGGAATTGTTTGAGTAATCAGCGGTGGAGCGAGAAAAGCTCCGGTATTAACGAACCCTGAAGCCTAGGGACCGTTGATAGTCGTCCCAGCTGCTTACTCTCCGAACTGGCCAGGCATATTGCCGCAAGTTACCAGTGCGAAGCCATCGACCCACTATTGGGGATCGCGTTCGTCCTCGAGTCAGTGCCGACATCCTGTGAGCTTCATTCGTTGACGAATCGTGGTACCTTCAATAGCGGCCTCCTAGTCTGTGGTCTTGTTGCCAGCCACAGCACGGAGATAACTCCATGAAAACGCCACACGGCTAATATCATGCAAGTAAGTTTTGACATGTATGGTCCAGATGCCAACTGCCGGAACACTAGGCATAGGTTCTGAAGATTAGCTTTGTGCGAACTTCTATCATTCCCATCGCAAGGTCAACCATTGAAGTGTGGGGATCGTCATCTCCCGACCACGGCTCGAGAGCTATGAAAGATGACACAAAGCGCGCGCTGTCACTGCCAAGGTGATAGGCCGAGTGCAAAAGCCGCGACGAAGTAGCGTTGGTGGAAGCAGTCTTGTGTTTTGAAGTTGGGGCTAGGCTAATCTTGACGAAACGGAGGATGCCGTGCCGCGGTTGTGATCTCCACAGGGATAGCCGTTGAGCGAAAAGGGTTGTAGCTTGGCAGGCCTGGACTTCTGGCAGTCCCAGAAAATGTCTCTCCGATCTAGTAATCTACTCGTCATAAGCGCCATCTTAACTGCATCACAACCGCGATACTTTGCGCTACGAAGAATGGTTGCTGCAGTGCTCTGAGTATGTAGAACCGGAAAACGAACCAGTGCAGCCTACGACCCGTCAGCTTAACGCGTTATGCTCTGTCACGGTTTCGTGACGCTCCTCGGAACTCATAAATTGCAAATTATCCCTATTTCCCCTAACGACTGCTACGCCATCGCTTTCGCATCATGTTTATATTCTTGGAGAAACGATCGAGAAGCTTCTGTCATTGTGTCTAGTTGTCTTTCAATTCATTCGTCTCACAGCTTGTTTCAGCCATTGCAAGAACAACTGACTGCCCACAGCCGTTAGTTTGCTATGAACGATCGCGTCGCAAGCTTCCAAGGCTCATTGATTATACTCAATTGTCGTGTTATTCTTTCTGTTCGAGTCGCAGGTAACACAATCAAGTCGTGGTTTTCGTGTTTCCGGTCGTCCAATGCTCAGGATCATGTTTCGCACCAACTGCTTGCTGGGGGAAACAGTTTGCTGTCTCAAGCACAGTCGCACACTTAGGGATATAACTCACACTATCTTACAAGTCTCAGTATCCAACTTCCATAAGTTGTCTTCCTCGGTCATTAATTCTCTGTATAGTAGGTACACCGTCGAAATCACTTACGGCTAACAAGTTGTAAATCCTTCCTTCTTGCTTACAGTATTGGAACTCATTGCCATGGCCACTCAACCTTCTAATAGTGGCGCACTTCTAGATGGGCTCCGATACTATCTTCTTCGCAGTGATGCTATGGGGGGTAGTCTAATGGTCCCACTGGTACCCGTAGATCAACTACCGTTTCAACTCCAAGGAATTCCGCGCCGGTTGACCCATCGCCAAATCTCAGACGAAGGCTGGAGGCTGTGTTCAGAGACTAATGAGGTGTCATCAGCGCTCGCCATCCAAGCGCCTATAATGACCAACTATCTAACCCAACCCAGTCCGACTACGAGCCCCCGATACTTGGCACCAGATCATCATGTACGTGCTGAACAGCAGATGACATCTGTAGACTATTATCAGCCTACTCGATTAATTCATCAATCTCCAACCGTCGCACATTCAGCTCAATCTTCAGCTCTCGTGAATTCGCCAGATCAACATCGTCCAACGCCTAGCATTACCCTTGAAAGTCCTTCATCACTAACCGATACCTTCGCATCCATCTATCGGAAAGATGCAAAACACCTTGGTTACCGCCTCCCCCATCCATCCGGCGTCGAGCCCGATCCGTCCAAGAAAGAGTACTGCACGCACTGGATCCAAACTGGCGAATGTAGCTTCGCGGCTATGGGCTGCAAGTTCAAACATGAGATGCCTGGTATCGAGAAGCTGCGTGAACTAGGCTTCGTTCGAGGCATCCCGAGATGGTGGAAGGAGAAAACTGCTATCGTTCCCAGACCGCCCACATGGATGCAGCGACGGCTAGCTGGGAATGAAGATGCAGAATATGCAGGGGAAGTACCAGAACCAAGGGAATTCTCTGACCCTTCTACCCTCAAATTGAGGACCACTGAGGGACGCGATTTATTTAGTGAGGAAGTACAGCAGCCGCGTAATATTCTCAAGAGAGATCTCTCTCCCAAGCAAACCACAGCAGGTCGCCTAACTCCCCCAGCAGCGATAGTCAAGCAACCGACCCGGTGTGCGAGCCACGTGCCAGATCTGCTCATCGACCTTGATGATGCTCCCACTCCATCACGTAGCCCCCTGTCATCCTGTACATCAGCGGCTAGCCGGCGCCACTCCGAACACTCATGGACTTCCAACACCGAAGACGACGCCCCCATCTCCACACCCACCATTCCGAATGTCAAGGTCAAGCTCCCTCGCCCAACCCAAGAACGACGTGAACCGCATCCCCGCAGCACAAGTGACGACAAAAAGCGCCTTACTACTACACCTACTACGCCCACCCATACTGACCTAATCAAATCTCAATCCGGTCTGGCATCCTCCAAGCATGCCACTATCACCTCCTTCTCCGAATCCTCAAGGAACAGCTCCACGAAAATCAACGCAGCAAAAAACACATCAAACCGCAATAGGAATGCTAATCGCAAGGGATATAGAGGAGGAGGAGTCGATGGACCATAACTTTGCGCCAAGATTGAACCCTTGAGGCGGAATGCGCATCGTGATGCTAGGGTGAGAAAGGGACCGTTATTGTGGTTGCAGCCTGAGAAAGGCAGGAAAGGGATGGTGGTGGAGGTACATACCGTGAAAAGGTATTTTGAACATTTCGTGTAATCAAATGGTAGGTGGGTGGTCAGTATGTATGCAACACAATAGATAAAAAAAAAGAAACCGTACAGACTGTATACTTGTTCCGGGTGGCTGTACTACCTACGTTTCCATTCTTTTCTTACCTTATTTGATCCAGACTTACTGTATTTACATTATTTGCAGTAGTTGCCTGTGTAACGATATGCTGAATGTTAGTATCGACAAGGAAAGTTGATTTCGGTATATTTTCCATGCCCGGGCCCGAGATTTGCATACTGCTTTGGTATTGGTTTCGGTGTTGAAATTGCGAGTAGCGATGCGCTATATCGAAGCAGAAAACGAGACGCCGAAAAATAAGCCGATGATGCCGCTTCTTCATCAAACAAAGTGATGCCCCCTAGATCAATCATGGCTGCACGTTCCTGTACAAACCGCCCACAAACCGCCGCCCAAATCATTCGTCCAACAGAAGATAATAAACAAAAGAAACAGCGCACCTCGCCTACGCACCCCACTTCTTGACCGCTTCTCCCAACTCCTTGGTGAGGCCCCTCCGCACGGCCAACAACTCTTCCTTCGCATTCTCAGCCTCCTTCTCGCTCCTCTCAACCCTTCCTCTCAGCTTCTCCACCTCGTTCCTCAACTCTTTCCGTAATTCTTTGCTAGCCTCTTCGACAGTTTTTAACCGATCTACTTCCACGCGTACCTTCTCGCCAGACGTCTCGACAGATTCTAACCGCTCTTTCATGGCCATCATTTCCTTCTTGATGCTTTCGAATTCCATTTCCAGGCCGCGGTATGCATGTGATTCTTTCTCCATGCGCTTCTGGAGATCTATTTTTTCTGTTTCGAGACCGTTGACAGAGGCTTTGAGTCCGGCGTTCACGTCTTTCAGACCGGCATTCTCATCTTTGAGGTTTTGTATTCTGTCTGTTAGTGCACGATTAACGCGCTCTGGCGCAGGACTACGTGGACTTAGAATCGATGATGGTGACGGTGCTGTGGTTGATTGCTTGAGACTTGAGGGCACAATGATCTGCTCACTGAGGGTGCGTCGGGGGTGCTTCTTGGGACGAATGGCTGATGCGATTCCGGTGTAGTCTTCGTCGCGTTCGCGTTTGATCTTGACATTTAGGCTGTCTGTTGCTGCGCGTTTAATGGGCGGCGCTTGGATATCTTCTGTTATGGATCTTGATAATGAAGCTATTTCTAGTCAGTATAACCACGAAGTTGATAACGATAGATTCCAACATACAGACGGTGGATGATCGTTTTGGCCGGACAACGATCGAGTCCTTTTCATAAGGAGTACTCGGTTCTGATTTCCTCGTTGGCGGCAGCAATGGTCGTTCTCCCTCATTGTGCACCCATAAACACGCGTCCCGAAAATTCCTGGTAAACATGGTAGGATCCGACCTTGTCCGACATAGCTCTTTCACGTGGCCAGCAGCCAAGAAGTAGTAAAGAATGAGGGCCGATACGCGATGGATGGCTTTGGACCCCCCCATATCGTCTCCAACATCACAAAAAGGCGCATGGAAGGCAACAGTACTGGTACTATTCACAGCTTGCAGCTCGCTACTGCCGTCATCCAATTCGGTTATGCGATAAAAGCTGACCTCGGCTTCATCCTCGTGGACATGGGCGGTGACGCGATCAATGGGTTCATCGTCGTCGCCGGCGGGGCCTGGCGCATATCCGCCGATGACAAGCAATTGCTTGTGGGTGGAGCGACCGAGGCCTCGCCAGATGGCCCTGCTGATGGTGAAGCTCTCGTCGAACTGGATCCAATGCAGTCTTGCGGCGCGCGGTAATGCACGAAAGGGCGCGGCAAAATTCGCACGAGCCCATGCTTGAACATTATCGTTTGTCAGGGGTGATCTTGTTTCATTGAAGTCGGTCATTGTGGCGATTGATTGGTGTGGTGTCACCCGTTGTTGCGCTGGATTTCAATGGGGCGCGCCTTGATTCGCAGGCACCGAGTTTGCGCAATTGCGGGTTGCCGAGTAGTGACGAAATGGTGCTGTTTCTGGTCGCGGTGTGAAATTGTACGACGAGCACAGGTCGCCGCCATCGAAGCCCAGTTGGTGGTCGGATCACGGCGACATGTTCTGAGGAAGGTGTGTAGAGGTCGACGCAGGCAGAAGTCAGGCGGGATTCCTTCCGCTGCCCGTTATTTGCGGGGCTGGTAGTGGCTGGACAACTAGAACGGAAGGTGTGCAGCGCGGCACCACTTTGACACATGCAAGACGGCTATCGTCGCCAGCGTCATCGCACATTCGCATGTCTGCGTGTTTCGCGCCTGTCTGGTCTGTTTTTCTGGTTTCGGAAGTGCGCGATGAGTATTGTGGGAGGAGCAGCGTCCACAAAGCTATAACCTGGCTCCCACTGACTGGTTGAGCGCATCGCGCGCGTGACCCTGACCATACTCGATACGCTTGGCAATGACATTCTGGACACAGTTAAAGTTGGAAATAAGGTTGCAGACGCGACAGACAAGGTTCAGGATGGTCCTTGTCAGCCCGGACGACGAGTTCATCGGCAGTTCGCGGATGCTGGCGCTAGCGGTCGAGGCGATCAGTTCCCGCGTGTTGTACATATACTATGTATAGGGCATACAAGGTGTCCAGGGTGGTGACTCGTTCCTTAGACAGTCATACAACGAAACCGACATGTCAGTGTGTATCTCGGACTGAATCTGGCTTCTCTGCGGCGGCCAACGATGGCGAAGTGCATATGGACGGAAATGGCGGTCATGAAAGCGGATCCTCTGGTCAGGATGTACATGTGCTTTTTCTGCTGTCGACGATCGATCGAGGCATGCCGTAACGAGGTACATCCGACATCATAACGGCCATGCATGCTCAGGGCTTCGAGATGTGCCCCGAAGTGTACCCGGGCGCCGAATGAGACAATCCGACGCGTCTACGTCATCACCTTTTTTTCTGCGACACGCGCCACACTTTCCATCTTTGTTACTACTCTACACATGCCAACCTGGCTCTGCCACGCTTCCTGACAGCTACGATATTTGTAATCATCGTGGCATTCCTGCTCAAAGCACCGTCACCGCACGCGCCAAAGTTCACAATGCCCCGCCGCAGCGCGACCTCGTCAGCGTCAGCCGACACAACTACCACCACCAAGCTCCCAGACAAGGTCCAATGGCCATCCACATTCACAGACGGACTTCCACTCCCTAAAATCGTCGTTTTCGACCTCGACTACACACTATGGCCCTTCTGGGTGGACACGCATGTCACAGCTCCGCTGAAGCCCGTAGAAGGAGGCCTGAAAGTAAAGGACAGATATGGCGAGGGCTTCGGGTTTTACAACGACGTGGGAGGCATACTAGCAGCTGTTAGTACATAGTCGTCTGCTGATACAATGGGAAGTTCTAACGCCCTCACAGCTTAAAGACAAGAACATCCTTGTCGGCGCAGCCTCGCGCACGAGTGCCCCCGATCTCGGCCGCGAAATGCTCAAGCTCCTTAAGATACCCAGTCCCAACGGGTCGTCCTCGCGCGCAATCGACTACTTCGATCACATGCAGATATATCCTGGTAGCAAGACGACGCACTTTGAGAGGATACACAGAGACAGTGGGATCGAATACGAGGAGATGCTCTTCTTCGATGATGAGAGCAGGAATAAGAACGTAGAGGCACTTGGTGTAACTATGCAACTTATAAGAGATGGTGTGACGAGAGACGAGATCGACAGAGGTGTGCAAGCCTGGAGGAAGAGGAATGGCCGGACAAAGGCGCTAGACGGATGAGAGGATAGCGCTCTATGTGCTCGAGAAAGAGCTAATACCCGGTGTATTTCCATTTGAATGAAGCAAGATACCCATGAGATACCCAAGACGATTGAGCACCAGTAGGACGCCACGCCTTCACGGCCTGCAAGCTCGCTCCAAGATGACATCTTATCACTGCCTTTGCACCATAACCACCTTGTCGACTGGTACCAAGGCGTACCTATGGAATCGTCAAGAACAATTGGTGTTCTGGATCCCTGTCCCATTTACGCACCTTCAATCGCTGTAGTGGCGGCCAGATGAAAAGCAGGCTCGACATCCGCAGCCTTACGCCTCCTACGCGGCTATTTTTAGGCAACGCTCTTCCACACCTTGTCTGGTAGCGTTTTGAAAAACATCCTCAGAATAATTGTTTCAAATCCCGATGGCCAGCCTGATGCAAAAGCACTTGAGTGGGTTGAACGTTTTGCCTCGCTGATCGCTTCAGCACCACGTGAATACTGTGCTCGTTCTTTTCTTCTTATTTTCTCTATCGATGACTTTGGAACATCGATGCACCATTTCAGCACTAGACCACCTAGGGAAAATGCCCTTTGAACCGGGGATTACAATTTGTAGTGGCCGAAGGATGAAAGTGGGGGTATGCTGCTCGCGCATTTGTCAGCCCATCCCAACCCAGTACCGAGCACGATCAAGCTTCATCGTAAGACAATCACTATCTCTTCATAGGACAGAAGTGACAATTGGGACACCTCAAATTGAGCGGGTAGCAAACCATATCCCTGCTTGCTAATCAGCACTCGATGGCAGAGCAGGCACCTGTCCTCTGGTGTAGCCAGTGTAAGAAGCCTTTTTCGAAGCGTCAGTATATTTGCTGGATTGTCATATATACGAAGCCAAAGATGGCAGACTGACTGTTCTAAAGAGTCAACATTAAAACGTCATGGGTACTACTGTCGGTCCAATAAGAAGGAACCAGTACAGAGACGAAGATCATGCACAGCTTGCGCAAAAACGAAGACCAGCTGTGACAACGCACTGCCAGCATGCTCACGCTGTCTCCGAAAAGACATCACGTGCAAGTACCCATCACGGTCTGCAGTGAAAAGACGCAACCCTGTAAAAACACGGCATGACATACCCGACCTGCATGGTTTAGATCAAGATCCTACAAACACCTTGGTATCAGCAGTACCCGAACGGATTCACGATATTCGAGAGCTGATGCCGGCCTGTGAGAACTCCATACTGTCCGCTGATATACAATGGAACCTCCATGACACTGCGACCTTTGACGACTTCGTACGTTCTACACCTGACTTGAATCTTTTTACAACAACACCATCTTATTCGCTTGCTTCAGCTGGCCAGACCCCCATTTCGCCGCCTTTGTTGCTTGCGGAAACAGCAGATGTAGCATTTCAAGAGCAATCTCAACCCGCTCCTCAGCGGCAGCGACAGGATTACGCTTCATGGCTGGTGAGCTCTTCCATCCCACCAATTCCTAACCAGAATGTACGATCAATGATGCAACGACCAAATATGCGCCCCGGAGCAAACAGAACTGCCAATCTGTTATTTTACACTCTTAAGTCTTACCCGCTAATGCTGCGTCGAAGCACTCTTCCCCCATTCATTCACCCGAGCTGCGTTTCATTCACAGATGAAGGTACAACAAACGAGCCACTTGAAAATTGCATTGCCCTAATACACATGATGGCGAATGGAATACAAGGAAGCCGGAGGCTTTTCTGGCGCAACGTAAAGCAAGAGTGTGAGCGCATGTGTCAGAACCAGACTCTCGGTAAATGGGAATTGCTTGGTGCTATGCAAGCTCTCTCAGTCTATGTGTTGATCCGTCTGGACGAGGGTGAGACTGAGCATAACAATGTGGACCATCTTCTGGAGAAGGCAGTCATTGTAAGTTTACTGTATCCCTCTCGTAACAAGCTTTTCTGACAATAATCTGCCTAGCTTATCGCGATACAACTGTCTCATGACGATTTTGACTGCCATGCGAATTACGTATCGTGTCGCAACACGTCTGAAAGCAGCTGGCAAGACTGGGTCTATAAAGAGTCCCGGCGGAGGTACGCCAGCCATTGGCATTATCGTTCCACCCATACCTGCTGACTGCTCTGGTAGACTTGCAGTTATCTATCGCGTCCTGAACAAACTCATCTTCTTTGAACCAGCAGCTATGTGCAATATGCCTGCGGAATTTGTGATTGCACCTTTGCCCGCGAAACGGCAACTCTGGGAGGCAAAAGATGCACAAGACTGGAAATCACAGAGCCAAACGGAGCCACAGGGACAAATTTCGTACGCGTTGGCCGTCGACGGCGAGATCATCAAGTTAGATCAAGGAAGGCTATCCTGCCGCGATGCGTGGCTACCATTTGCTCCGTCAGATAAAGAACCTGCTTCTCAGATTCACAACAACAGAAGTAGTCACTGCTCAAATTGGTGGGTGGAGTGGTGTTCTGGTATGGACGGTATGGGCGGGTTGATCATGCTTGTGGCGTCCCTGGCATAGCGGTATGAACATGGGGATGGGGCCGAGGCGCTCCAACGACAAACCATCGGAGAGGACTAGTCATTTGTATCCAAGCATATTATTTCATGTAAGGAAAGCCCATCGTGGTATGGCGGAGGGTACCATGATCATGGTCGGAGTTCACGCGCGCCGGACGGAACAAATTTGTATCCCAAGCACAGTGTAGATGATGACATGCAGCACTACATGTCCATTTTCGATGAGATTTCCCGGTATAAGATCGTAACGATGCCCTCAAAGACGAGTAGTCACATACTTCGGACTCCAGTGTTGCAAGTCGCCGATTACACAGTAGCCAATATTTTGTCCAGCTCTTCTATCCCAACATAGCTCAGTAAAGTCGCCATGGTTTCCGACACTCCACCCTTCCCGTCACCTGTCAAGCGCTGGCATAACACGGCTCAACCCGCTGGCAATCCTAGCCTCGCAGCTCTCTCTCAGAAAGGCAAATCGATCATGGTGACGGGTGGAGGCAACACTGGCATTGGAGGAGAGACAGCACGCTTCTTCGCTCGCGCAGGTGCCGCGCGCATCGGTCTGCTTGGACGTCGTGAAGGCCCTCTACTCGAGAACAAAGCTTATATTGAGAAGGAATCTCCTGGTACGATCGTTTTCATCCAGAGCACCGACGTCACCAATGAGGCTTCAGTCAATGCTGCATTTGACAACTTCGCCAAGGATGGCGAGATCAACACAGTCATTCACGCTGCTGCAGCTGTTGGGCCGAAGGATAATATCGCGGATGTCGACGGCCACGAGTTTCTCAGAGCTGTTACCGACAACCTCGAGGGTTCTTTGTGGGTTGCAAAGGCCTTTATTCGTACAGCTGCCCCAGGTGCTCATGTCATCGCCATCAACTCTTGGGGTGCTCATTTGAGTCTCAACGATGCATTCGCCTCCTATTGCGTTGCCAAGATGGCTGTTTATCGCTTGTGGGATACCGTGCTTCTGGCGAAGCCAAAGCTCAGTGTCTTCCATACCCAGCCCGGCGTTGTTCTCACTGAGATGAACCTCAAAGTCGGCGGTGCGGACAGCTTCAAAGATGTGAAGACTGATGATGGTAAGATCTAATTTTACACTACGCAATACGGTGAAACTAACAGCTCTTCATCTAGTCACTCTCCCGGCAAGCTTCAATCTCTGGCTTGCAACTCCAGAGGCCCGATTCCTCAAGGGCAAGTTCTTGTGGTGCAACTGGGACATCGACGAGCTCAAGTCTCGTGCTAAAGAGATTGAGTCTAGCAGGCTACTCAACATCGACCTTGTCGGCTGGCCATTCGATACTTGCACTGATTAGTCTATGCGAAGAGTGATCTAGAGGATGTGATTAACTTGGTGGATCATAGTCACGTATCTTCTAGGATGGTCGGCAGATTCCAACGTTTCGATCTTGTACAGAAAAGGCGATTCGAGTTCAACGTATATTCATATATAAACTTGAAAGTACGCCTTGCTGATTTTTCCTGAATCCGTGACGGCCAATGGAAGATGAGAATCAAAAAGGCTGGTAATAGAAAGAAGTCGCTTATAGGATTGGAGAACGCGGCGGTGACGTCACGTCAGCGACGCTAACATTAGGTACTGAGGAGGCCTCCAATACACCCTGCATGTGGATGCCTTGAGCGACGTTAGATTCATCAGAACGTACAATGAACCTGCTGTTATATCCGTCACTCTTTTTGCGCAAAGCGCTTTCGCGAATGCCTCGTACCTGGTGTTACCATCATGTCATCCTCAGTTGAGCAGAAGCTTCCCACGGAGCTACTAGAACAAGTACTATCTTTCGCTCCTCGCGATTCTCTTCCGAGTTTATGCCTAACCTCAAGAGACTTCAACCGCATCGCCACGCCATTTCTGTACACAGGGATAGATCTGAAGGAGACGCACCATCTTCCTGCCCTTGCGTACTTGATGATGACCTCCCCAGCCCACGCCGCTCTTGTCGAATCATTCATCGTACCTGATTCATGGGCAAGGACCAAAGGGAAGTCTCGTGACTGGTCATGGCCTGGACTCAAAGACACAGAGGTGCAGAGCGTCTTGAAAGCCAAGAGTGCAGCATTTACGTCTAGCGAAGAAGAGGCCAACGAACTCTATGGTAAGATTTCATCTGGCGAGAATGAGGATGCTATCATGGCAGTGCTACTCGCTTGTCTTCCCAAATTACGACGACTGGATTTCAGAGTTAGCACTGGCAAAGCTCCAGCAGACTCAAAGACGGTATCTCCAGTATCGCGCAATGATCACGTTGATTTCCGTTTACTGTGGCCTAAAATCATGAATAAGCTACGATCACGCTGCGGCTTCACAAAGGAAGCGAACAGAAGCGTTACGAGTAACCCATCGCAGGTAGTACAGCTGCCTGCAGTTTCACACCATATCGACATCATGGTCAGATTCACAGGGCCGGTACGCAGGTACTCCAACTACACCTTACATCTGGCAAACTTCTTCCATCTTCCCAATGTCCGCTCTATATACGGATGGAGGCTTGGGGATATGGGTGATCCTCCGGATCTGGAAGATGCGAAGAATCCGTTCGCAACGCTGCCACCTCAATCATGCCCGGTGGAATACATCGAACTGCGTCGCTCCCAACTACACAAAGACCATTTCCAGCTTATGATGGATGCAACAATACCCGGGAAATTGAAGACGTTTAGCTACGAGATTGGCGATCGATCATGGTCTTGGTGTGGTACGGATCACTATTCAATTATGAAGAGCCTGCAGCCACATTATGAGTCGCTTGAAGGGCTGAGTCTAAGCTATGACGAGGCCTATCTTTCTCATGATAAAAGAATTCGCGATAATGCTCCACCATGCTCATTCAGGTCCTTCGTCGCGCTGAAGCGACTCAGAGTCGCTCCTCTATATATATGGCACCACAGAACACTGTTTCGCCAACACACTTGGCAACGTTCTTCTCAGGAGCGACTTTGCTCTGTGCTACCTGAAAACCTAGAAGAGCTCTGGATCACGAGGACTCATGACCATATCACTCGGGTCGGCGCGCGTAACGGAGAGTTTTCATTTGTCTCGGATTGCTTACTCCCTGCGCTTCATCATGTCGTGCAGAACAAGTGGAGTGCTCTCCCCAAGTTGCGTCTCTTGCGTATCGAATTCCCTCTGCTGGAATGGAAGGACGAATGGTTCGACGAAATAGCATCGATCTGCGAGCTAGCCGCTGTTAAAGGAATAAGAACTACCATCATTTTGTGCGACATGTTCTATGAAGGCAGTCCTTTTACCATCGAGCGACCTTGGGGCTGGAACGAAGATATTGAATGGGAGCCAGATATGAAATGGCAGCCAGAGCCAACCAAGACTAGCAGTAACCGAGAATGCGCAAAAGTATGGATCGATGCAACAGGGCAGGAACATCTCGCTGCAATACTCAAAGACATGAAGGTCAGGTTTGAGGAAGAGGACGAGATGTTTCGGAAGGCGAGCGGTGTGGTATACGAACTATGGGGGCCAAGCGTGGACTATGACTATGATGCTAGTAGAGATCTCGGCTTCCCTGAACGGTTCGTTGATGAGCGGTTGCAGAAAGAGCCGTACTGGAAGGGACGTGGCAAGGAAACTATACCGTATCCTAAGTCAGTGGCCAGCTGAAACCCAGATGACGTGCAAGGGACGAGAAGAGACACCAGATTCGAATTCTCATCTGGTTCATGCTACGGTTTTGTACCACTATGAGGTCGAGTGTAGCTCTCAAAACATATCTGAACAAGCAGGAAGATGCTGTTTTAGCCTAGTCCTTTGTTCCCTTTCTCGCTGTCGTGTTCAGCCTCAGGCTTTACTGTACAACCCAGGTGTTGGGTTCGATTTCGATAATGTTGCGGGTGCAGCAAGAATGTTGTGTTTAGAGATATGTTCCGTGTTTGTTCCAAAACATATAGGAATACACAAGGATTGACGTGTTATCTATAGCAGTGGGCCAACATCACTTCCAATGATTGCATATGTCTAACCCAGAGATGGGGGTGCAGTGTCGCACAATAGTCAATTTGCTGTTATCCATGCCTCAACGCTTTGGAGACGGTCCAGGTGGGCCATCAGCCATTTCAGTTCGTTGCGCCTGTACCGCTACACCTTTGACACTTAGCGGTGATGTATACCTTGCCTGAGCCTTTACATGGCGAACAAGATTGACCATCAGCCTCATAGGCTTGGATCCCAGGAGATTTTCCATTGCCGCCGCATTTTACGCAGTTCGTTTTGTACCTTGACGAACCAGAGCCATTGCAAGAGCTACATTGGGCCATGTTGCGAGACCTTGTTAGATCAGTATACGTGCACTTCATCTTAGTCGGCGGGTGTACATACACTCGTAAATTTTATTGAAATTTTGGGTATGTCGGATTCGTTGAGTACAAATGTGTCGAAATCGATGGAACTTGGACTACGAAGTACACGAAAAGTTGGCTCAATTTATCTCTGTGACAGGATTCCTGAAGAAGAAAGATCAGCAGGTCCTCAGCACCTGACAATCATACTTCTCAGCCTGTGAACCAGCATCCTTGTTGTTGATGCGATCAGCCACTTCATCTGCAACTCTTGGTATGAAGCTCACCGGACGAAGCAACGACTCAGAGTTAACAGTGTACAGTAGTGATGCGCAACAGCTGCTACCTAAGTCTTGTGGCTGTTTTAGTGTTTGTGGTTATAGAGTCAACAGGCAGGATTGCAGCAGGCTGAAGTGCGTGTAGAAGGGCAACAGTCCTGCACAGTGGAGCCACGTATCTCATACCGGTGAGACATGCTAAGATCATGCACTTCGCTCTATCAGATCATTGCCTCACACTCAGCTTCGTATATGCATGATAGGACTGTGGGACCCTTGACTTAAAATTGATGGTGCTTTGTTGTAACATTGGTTTAGTCTAAGGTTGGCAAACTTTGAAGAGAGAGTTGCAATCTTGGGCTACATGCTTTTTCATGTAGTGGTAAGAGTAAGAGTAATCGTAGGCAAAAACAATAACGCATAATGTACATGACTTATACCAATTTGAACCAGTTTCAACAGTCTTCTCACGTTGCAGAGGAAATGCCCTCGCACTTGATAAGGAGAAAAAAAAAACCCCCCTTCCCAAACGCCTTCGCTATGCATCAAAAGCAAAAATTTTTACTTCCTCATTCCAGAGAAATCCTTGAGAATACCAATCATGTGGGTGTTGGTCTGCTTTCCACCACGACGAGGACCCTTCTTCTTCTTGGTCGTAGGGGCAGCAACAATGACCTTGGCTTGGGTAGCAGCCGTCAATTTGTTGGCTAACAGGGCCTTGCGCAACTCATCAGGGTTATCCGGTACCTGAACCGAGTGCCAGGCCTTTGCGAAGACGGGGTCCATGGGCAGCATGAGAGAGGGGTCATTGCCCCAGACGGTCTTTGGCACGCCGTCCTTGGCGCGTCGCACCAGCACCTCCTTCTTGTCTTCCATCTTTGTAATATCATCAGCCACGGTGGACCAGCCATCTTTCAGGTCTTTGATTTGAAGTCCCATGGCCGACTTTTGCGTTTGGAAATGGCCTTTTAGCTGTGCACGGTCGTGAATGCTGAGCTTGCTCTTGTACTTGTAGCGCTCGTTCGCAGCGTCCCAGCTGATCCTGTTGCCTTGGTTGTCGGCGCGCATGAGCTGGCGGAGCTGTTCGCGCTGGATGTGACCGGGCGGGATGTTGAGATATTCCATTATGTCATCGAAGGTGTGCCATTTGTCCTTTCGTTCGCGCAGGAAGTCGTTGACGTAGGTGAGGCGCGTGAAGACATGCTCGCCGGTGCCTGTGTCCTGCGGCTGCGAGTAGACGACCGGGGGCGCTCCATCGGCAGGGCGCTTGCGCTTGCCGCTGGCGGACGAGGATGAGGGTGTGGGTGAAGGGGCATTCATGGCCGTGGCCGAGTTTGCCTTGAGGAACGACATGGTTGGCGTAGTTGGTTGTAGTTGTGGATGGGAGATGTCGATGTCGGCGGTCGGGGCGTGCGGCGTCTAGTTAAAGAGTCGCAAGCCAAAGTCTCGCCCTGCTAGGAGTAATAGGACGGTAGCGAGCGTGGGTCGGCGGAAGGTGCGAGGGAGGAGTGGGTGAAGGTGTTGTTGGCGAAGACGTCGACTGGAAGCGTCGGGGAGAAAGACGGACATGTGCTATGACCTCAAGGCTGCCGCGCTAGAGCCTGGCCCCTGCGCGAACGTCGTCAAACAACTGCAACTCGCGACTTTGACCTGTGGACCCGCTCATTGTTCGCGTCAACACCGCCCTCCCTCCCTTGTCTCCTTTCTTTCTGGGCACCCGTCGAGCGACTCTGGAGAATGCCTCGACGTTCCCAATAGATTAATACACGATCATGGCGGCGACGGTCGACGTTGGCTACCTGGCCGCGTCCTACTCCGTCCCCGAGACGACGCTACAGTCATTACTATCCGAACCCACCATAGAGCTAGTCCAGACGCTGCTCACCCAAATCGAAGCCAAGGCACGCGCCTACGATGACTTGCAGTCGGACAAGATTCGCACCGATGTCGAGCTCGAAGCAGCTATCCAGGGCGGCGAGCAGCGCGCGCGGGTCTTGAAGGCCACGGCAGAGAAGGCGCAGAAGGAGGCCGAGGAATTGAAGAAGAAGCTTGTCCAAGAAGGTATGAGATGCAAAGCTTACCCGTCGCCAATTCATGCTGACGCGTTTACAGAAAATGCACGGCAAGAGGCAGAGTCGGCGCTGCACAACCTGCAGGCCACGGCTAGCAGCTCCTCGTCTGAGACGCAGGCTCTGGAGTCGCGCATCAAGACACTCGAGTCCCAGAACCGCGACATGATTGCCATGCACGAAACTAAGACGACCGCACACGACCGCCTCGCGAAGGAGCTTACCGAGCAACACCAGAAGTCCGTCGAGCTGCGCAAGCAGGTGTCCGCACTCGAGGAGAAGACACAGTCTCTTGAGAGCGCTGCCACCAATGTCAAGTTCCGCGAGGCCAACCTGCAGCAGGAAATTGAGCAACTCCGCAGCAACAACGACTGGTACACGACCGAACTCAAGACACGCGCCGACGACCACAGCAAATACCGAAAGGAGAAGAATGCGCAGATTGCCCAGCTTCAGCGCGAGAACGCTGATGCCGCCGAGACCATTGATGAACTGCGCCGTGCCGAGACACTGTTGCGACAACACATTGAGGAGCTCAAGAGCAAGGCAGAGGAGGATCGCTTGCGTATCGAGGAGCTGGAGAACGCAGCATCAGCTGCCGAGGCTCACTTCCGCATCGAGCTCGACAGCGCACGCCGGCTGTCGACATTGCATCAGCAAAACAATGAGATGACAAAGAAACGCTTGGAGCAGCTGCAGGCGGACAGCAGCCGTGTCCAAGAGGAGGCTGCCACCGAGATTGGGCAACTGCAGGCTGAGGTCGAGGTGGAACGCGAAAGGGCTGCCGAAGCCGATGCGCGCACTGCTGAGCTGGAGACGCTCGTCGAGACCCTCAAGAGCGACAACTCCGATCTTCGAAGTTCCGTCCGTGTCCCTGGAACACCACGACATGGCATGAGCATGAACGGCGGCTTCAGCCCCCCAGGCAGAGCAGCTTCGCCCGCCGTCGTTTTCTCTCCTGGCGGCTCGCAGCTCAAGACCGATGCGTCCAAGACTCAGCTACTCATCGAGAATAACGACCTCAAGAAGGAGCTACGCAAGGTCCGTGAGAAGCAAGAAGAGCAGACCAACGTCCTCAACGAAATGCTACAAGAGATGGAACGGGCCCAGCCAGAATTTGACGAGATTCGTCGTCAAAACGATGCGCTCATCGAGCAGAACAACGAAGTCTCCGCCCTTCTCGAGGAAGCTATTGCCGAACGCGAGGCAGCACAACGGGAATCGCGCAAGGCCTTGGGTGACCTGGAGGGCGTGCACAACGAATCTGGTCTCCTGCGTCGCCAGGTTCAGGATATGACTATCCAGCTACGTACCTTGCTGTGGCGTCGGCAAGTAGAAGAGGATGGTCTAGGTAGTCTCACTGAGGAACAGCAGGAGTTCATCATCAACGCTGTCGAGAAGAACGAAGTGCCTGACAAGCACATACCCGAAGACTCGCCTACACACAGCATGATCACCAAGCATCTTATTCTTTACAAGGACATCGCTAGCCTCCAGCAACAAAACGCCGAGCTGACACGCACTCTTCGACAAGTGGGCGACGAACAGGAGAGGCAAGAGGTCAGAATGAAGTCTGAGCAATACCAACACGACATCGAGGAGCTTGGTCGCCTGCGCTCCGTGGTTGCGGAGAAGGAAGAAGAGATCAAGTCCCTCAACGTTCGCTCGCAAACCCTCAAGACTGAGCGCGACATGTACAGCCGTATAGTCAGCGGCCGAGGACAGCAAGCATCTTTCTCCCAGTCAACGTCTGCGTTTGCACAGTCAGTGCCTGCGACCGGAGGTGCCTTGTTGCTAGAAAATGGATCGCAATCCCGCGACATTCCAGAGTACAGCAAGCTCATCAAGGACCTTCAGTCCCACATTGACCTGCTCAAAGAGGAGAGTGCCACTGACCGCGCCACACTCAAGGCGCAAGTCGACAACCTCACCAAGGATAACTCACAACTTCAAAGTGATAAGCTCCGCTTTGAGTCGCAGGTGCGTCGAGAGCAGGACCGGTATGCTCGCCTGGAGGGAAGCATCAAATTGCTCCAATCTGAGAAGGACTCGCTTCAAGAACGCTACAACAAAGTCCAGGCGACTATGGCCCAGCAGGACGACAGGCTTGTCAAGGCCACTCAAAATGCCGCTGAAGCCGAGGCCCGTCTGCAGAGCTTACAAGGTGAGATGGTCCAGGTCAAGGCATCTCAACAAATGTCCGCGACGATTGAAGCTCGTCTCAAAGAAAGGAACCAAGAGTTGATGAGCGAGCGCGATCGGTTGAGCAACATGGTTTCTCAAATCCAAAGCTTGCGCAATGAAGCTGAGTTGGCTACAGCAGAGAGTCGGCGCGAGTTGCAGAACACGGTGGACAAGCTCCGGACCGACTTGCAGAGTGCCGAAAGCAAACTGGAGGATGAAATTGCCGAGCATAAGAAGGCTACTGCACAGCGGGAGTACGAGCGGACTGAAGCGCAACGACGAATTGACGATCTTATCGCCGCGCGCAATAGTGCTGAGGTCAAGTCTGCGACTGCCGAATCAACACGCCAACAGCTGGAACAACGCATCAAGGACCTCCAGAATCAGCTCCAGACCGCCGAGGAGCGCGTACAGGCTCTCCAGCCACAGACCAACGGCTCGAGCGAAGAGCAGGATTCTGTCAGCCGTGAGGAACAGCTGGCCGAACAAGTTTCAGATCTCAAGCGCAAGATTCAGCGCAAGGAGGAGGACCTTGAAGCTGTTACTGCCCAGATTGCTGGTTTCCAGGATATCGCACAGGACGCCGAAAACCGATTACAGACTTTCGTCGAAGCCCACGAACGACTCCAGGAGCAACTCAATCTTGCACAAGAAGAGAAGGACGCAACTATCAGCGACCTTCAGCAGCGTGTTGAGGACATCTCATCTGAGCTTGCTACCAGTAGCACCGAACTCACTGAACTGAGGGGCAAGCATGAGCAAGACACCTTGGTACTGAGGCAAGAGAAGGAAACCCTGGAGGCAGAAATCACCCGACTCAAGAATGACGTCGCCGACTACAAGGCCGAGGCCGAAAACCAAACACAATACGTCAAGACCCAGGCCGACATTGCAGAGCGTGCCCAGAAGGACTACGAGCATGAGTTCCAGAAGCACGCCGAGAGCATGGAGAAGCTTCGCGAGCTACGAGACCAGCACAACCAACTTCAGTCTCAGATCACCGAGTTCAAAACACAGGCTGAAGCTGCACGAACGACACTGGAGCAAAGCCAAGACCACTGGAAGTCTACTGAGGGTCGATATGAGGAGCAGCTTACTGAAGCCAGACGCCGCCATGATGACTTGAAGCAATACAACCAGACTTTGCTCAAGCAGTTCGACGAATACAAGGAACAAATCAACAGCTTAAAGAACGACCGAGGCGCTGCGGCTGGTGAGACCGGTACCGCAGAATCCGGCTCAAGCAATCTCCAGGATATTGAGACATATCTCCGCCGCGAGAAAGAGATCTTGGAGGTGCAGCTCAACCTCAAGGTACAAGAGTCGAAGCGTCTGGAGCAGCAACTCACGCACGCCCAAGGCCAGCTCGACCAAACGCGAGAAAAGTTGTTGGAAGAGCAGGCCAAGGCTTCTGGTTCCCACAGCAACTCCAGCCTTGCACATCTCAACAAGAACCTCGAAGAGCTCAATGTTTACCGTGAGAGCAATGCGACATTACGAAGTGAAAACACTCGTCTTCAAGCCTCGTTCGCAGAGAAGGCTAAGGAATTGGAAGACCTGCAGGCTCAACTAGAACCCTTGCAAATTCGCGTAACCGAGCTTGAGGGTGAGCTAGAGCTCAACGTCGGTCACCTCAAGGCTGTCCAAGAGGACCGCGACCGTTGGCAGAAGCGCCACCAAGATGTGCTCCAACGATACGACCGCATTGATCCTAAGGAACTCGAGGATCTCAAAAAACAGATTGAAGACCACAAGGTTGAGCGCGATCAGGCACTTGAGCAAGTGGCAGGCCTCAATGAGCAGATCACAGCCCTTACTGGCGAGGTACAAACTGCTAATGCCGAGCGTGATAACATCCAGAAGTCTGAAAGGGAGAAGTTCCAAAAGAAGCACAACGAGCGCATGAAGGTTAAGAACGACGAAATCAGCGCGCGCACTGCTGAGCGAGACGAGGCTCAGAAGTCTGTTACAAACTTGCAGCAGGAGATTGAACGCATTCGACAGGAACTCACGAACGCACAAACAACGAGTGCGGGTGCTGGTCAATCCCAGGAGCGAATCGCGACACTCCAGAAGGAACTGGAGCAGATCCGAACGCAGCTCGCGACCACTCAGCAAGAACTCAATGCTGCAAGGACCGCTCGTGACGAAGCCATTGCTCAAGCGAGTGCATCTGCCCAATCGACTGGCAACGCAGAAGCAGGCGAGGAAGGCCAAATCACCGAGACATCTGATGCGACTGCACAGCAACTGGCACAATTGCAGAAGCAGCTGGCTGAAGCTCAACAAAAGGCTGCAGACGCAGAGAGCAGCCGATCAGCCACTGCAGCTCAACTGGAGAAAATCCAAACAGAGACTGTAAGTTTATACCATATCATTGTTGGATCACATACTGACTTCCTGCAGGCGGCTCAGGCCGCTACCATGGATGAGCTTCGACAGCAGCTTTCGCAATCCCAGCCTCAAGGTCAACAGCCCGCGACCAGCTTGGCTCCTGCCGAACCCGCGGCTGATTCCGCTGTGGCAGCTGATACTGAGAAGCTTAGAGAGGAGCTTGCTGCAAAGGCAGCCGAAGTCGAAGATCTGCGGGCTCAACTTGCCAGCGCGAAATCAGCTCAACACACCGCTGAAGGTGAGACGCAGCCAGAAGTCACGCAGAACAGCGAAGAAATCGCAGCCATCAAAGCTTCGTTGGATCAACGAGAGGCTCAGTTGAAGGAGCTTGAGACGTCGCTGAATGCCCGCGAAGCCAAGGTCGTCGCGAGAGAAGGTAATCTAGAGAAGATTAAGACCAAGGCCAACGATCAGATCAAAAAGATTAGGGATGAGTCCAGCCAAGAGCTCATCAGGGTGAAGGACGCTCACCAAGTCGAGCTGGAGCGTCTACAGCAAGAACTGCAGAAAGCAGCCCCTCCACAAGACGCTCCCAAGGAAGCTACGCCAGCCGTTACTCAACCCGCACCGGATGGCATGGTCAACACGGAAGATCTGCCGCGACCAACAGTCACAGACCAGCAGCTAAAGGCTTGGTTGAAGAACAACACCGGTGCTTACAGAGTATTTGTGTCTCAAGTCAAGTCCAATCTCCAAGGACAAATGGCTAAGAAGGATGAGATGATCAAGAAACTCGAGCAGGAGATCCAACAACTTAAGACACAGATCCAGGAGAATGCCCAAAAGGTCATCGACGGCCTTACAGGTGTCAAGCAGGAGCCTGAGCAAGCTAAGGAGGCTGGCTCAAGCGAGGACCTGGCTGCAGTCAACGCTGCATGGGAGAAGAAGCTGAAGGAGAAGTTGGAGGAATTGGAGGCAAAGCTGGCCAAAACACATGAGCTCAAGTCGAAACTGAAGGATTCGCAGCTGAAGCTCGTTAGGACGAGATTCGGCTATGTCGAGAAGGCCGCAAAGGAAACGCCTACAGAGGAAGTTGCAAAGGTATACGCGATTGCGCTACAGCAGAAGCCAGTGGAAGCTGCTAAGCCTGTACAACCTGCTACACCCGCAAAACCTGCTGCCACACAAGGTCAAGCACCGACATCGACACCGCAGCAACAGCCAGTAGCACCCTCCACAACCAACACACCCCAGGCAAACGGCGCCAGTAACGCGCCTCCGGCTCAAGCGTCCCAACCCGCACCTTTCCAACAATCCAACCCCCAGCCCAATCCCTTCGCTCAAGCTGCCCCTGCTGGCCATGGCACCAACGCAGACCCATTCCCACGTAGCCAAAGCCAGATGGGTCGCGGACTCCCACAGCCAGGTTTCACAGTTCAAGGTCAAGCACAGCAGCAGCAGCAGTCGGGACGCGGCCGCGGCGACGGTGTAGGAACGGGCCCTGCTGCTATTAGAGGAGCTCTTGCATCAAACATCCCCCGCGGTGGTGCTGGAAGCGGCATCCCTATGCCTGGTGGTAGGGGACGAGGCCAAAACCAGCAACAACCTCAAACCCAACCCCAGAATAATCAGCAACAGAATCAAGGTCCTAATGCTGGAGCTGGAGCCGGTGCTTCGCAAATTGGTCGTGGCAATGGTCGAGGTGCGGGTCGTGGCCGTGGTCAATCAAATCAGAATCAAGGATCACCAGCAAGAGGTGGCTTGAATCCTGGTGCGCAGGGTTTCCAGCCTGGTCAAAGCCAAGGCGGTCAGGGACAGGCTGGACGCGGACAGAAGCGTGGCGCGGAAGATGATATTGGTGAAGGTGCGACGAGAGGTGGGAAGAGGGCACGAGGTGGACGTGGTGGTGCTGGCGGCGGTGGTGCTGGACAACAGCAGCAGGGTGCTGCTGAGTAAAAGAAAAAATGATGCGGGGATACAGTATGCTTTTCATTTGTTTTCTGTTTTTATGCTTACGGTATTCTTTCGAAGGAACGAAGATGTATTAAAATGAGATTTAGCGGGACGAGCTGTGCCCATTGGTAATGAGCGGGTGGGCTCTCGGTTAGATGAAATCTCGTCTGAGAGAGCTTGTGTCTGTACTATAGCATTTACATGGTGTTTTTATGGAGATTTGTTGCGACATAATTTCGATCTGAGGTCCTTTGATATGCGTGCTTGGTGGCTAAGAATGTGTTGACTGTGCTAGTTCATCAGAATCATGAGCCGGGTATGCTCTGAGCAGTGGGAGGCAAAGACATGCCCGTGGACGACGCCTGTTTGTGATGGAACGTCGGGAAGACGTCTTGTATTTGTAAGTTGGGGGTTTATGCAATCGCATCATTCTTTTACGGGAAACAAACACGACGATTGTGTTCACCAAAGGAGCAGAGTACGGATTGCAAATGTCGAATCACATTTTAAGATGCTCGAGCTATCGCGCGACAAAAAGCTCCTATCCTTTCCGAATCTTGCAAACCGATGTAGTAGATGATGGTTGCCGCGTGGAATCCGGACCGTGCGATATGCATCATCGTCTCATTCTGGTATCGATTGTGTTGATAGCTTGCTTACAAGTTGTACGACTACTTCTTTGTTCCAATCCGTTCGCGATATGCGACGGGAGACAGAAGGAGACAAAACCCAGGATGTGCGGAACGTCGATGCATCTCTGAGACATCCATCTAGGAAGGATGATGGTACGCCGGCAGGAGAGGCCGAGGGTGCTGTTCTAGGCCCATTAGGGAGGGAAAAAGGAGTAGTTGTCGACATTCGAACAACATTCTGACAGAGCGAAGTCATGGTGGTGAGATATGTTGTTTGTCTGTAGGGCCGAGCTTTGGGCCGCTACGAGTGCATCACGATGATGATGTTGTTGTTGTTGTTATCAACCCATATCGTAGAGCGTATCAGTATCTCACTCCTGACTAGTCGCTTTTTAAGCAAATATTTGTTGGTGAACTATTGTCGAAAATTCATATCCCGCATGTCATGCAGTAGGATATAATTTGTACGATTACTTCATCATTCACGTTCATTGCCTTCGGTGTCAGTATACTTCCAGAGACGAAACGATATGGACGTCTGCCTCGTGGAGCTTCGGCCCGTTGATGAGACACTACTGCAGTCGGTTTCGGCATTCGTGTGTAATAGATTGTATGATTTGCATCCTCATTTCGTTCCGCGTCCTCGCCAGAGTAGAACCAGTGTCACAATCGGTCCTCTTATAGCTGCTATGCAACTAAATGACTAGTCACTGATAGTCCCTGTTGTTGGCATGCGCATCGAACTAATGATGAGGTGAGACAAGGTATTGCGGAGGTTTGTTGCATCCCTGTGTTAATTCAGTGAGCATGATGGCGGCCTGGAAGGGGAGAAGAGAGATCATGACCGGGTTCGTTAGATGGTCCAAGAACAAGCTACGAATGTCTGAATAGGATGTAATCATTTCAAGGCATGATGAGGAGAAGCACGATCTTCTCAATATCTAGAAGATCTGTTATCGAGACGTGGCCATAGATAATGACATTCATACAACAAAGCGTATCAGGCTTCCCCTTTCGCAAGAGCGTTGTCTGGCTGTACTTATCAGCCATATCGGAGAGATTTGCTATGTGATAAGATGGAAGTGCATGACGAGTCGGGGTAAGTCGCAGCGCATGCGCTGTAAGCCACATTCACCAATCGGACACGACGTGCATATCAAGAAAACTATGAAGTTCTTCGGGTAGCGCATGTGGAGCGAAACGAGTGGCGCCTCCACGCACTGCGAGATGAGAGTCCGTCGCCCGTGGAATTGGTAACGGGTCGTCGCGTCATCACCAACCGGGCCGTCGCTCTTCGGGCGACGAACCGCCGGATAGGTTATCAGGAGTCATTCGTGAGGTCGGGAAAGGGCCATTGCCAAGAGCCTGACACTCGGATCACACGCAGGCTGATTATCTTCGGGGCGGATAGCGATTGGCTCATGATCTGCTTGTTGGAGGCCTCGTGACGATGTCTTGACATTGCATTGACAAACTGGAAGGACCGCCAGGAGGCGAAGTCGTGCGTCGACGAGCTGGCTAGCGTATGTGGAGATGAAGCTGACGCAGCGCTGCAAGACTGTTTTATCGGTCATACCAGTTGTGCACGAAGGGTTGGTCGTTGCGCAAGCGGGGAAGATTGTTATCGAGATCATATGGACTTTATGCCCGGTCATGGCTAAACGATCCAGAGGAGAGATTCGGTGGCGTTCATTTGACAGATTGATTACATGTTGTGTAAGTCCAGCTGTGTAGGAGGGTAGAGACAGACTGATATCGATTGAGTTGTAGTGTGTGGTAAGCTATTATTTGTGGGACCTTGGACCCTTGAACGAAGTAATCCACTACAAATGTGAACATGCCAACGGAATGTGGGTAGACAAAGGAATTGGGTACGAAATGAACATTTGGCAGTATGCTGGCAGTAGAAACTATCGCCTAAGGTTGGAATCATACAGGAAGGCGGCGCGATCTAGCCCTTGAGTCGACAGACAAGCTCATCGCGTGGAGGGAGGTGCATCTGGGGTGTGGACACGATGGATATGCTCCGACGCTACCCTTGCCCCTGCACATCCCTTACCGAGCATCGCATGTACCACGAGACATCTTCGAATTTGGCCGCGACTGATACGACGTGTAAAGCATTCCTTGGCAGTCAGTGCCAGCTCATCGCTGCTTGAGTAACTTGAGAGGGGTTTTGCCAGCTGGACCACAGAAGAGGTGAGGAAGCTTTTCGTATTCACGTGGTGTTTTGTGAATCCTACGGAAAAGTTAAAAAGTTAGTGTTAGCAAATCCTCGGAGAGCCGCATGTATGCAGGTGTCGTTGGAAGCTGCAGCGCGCTATCAGTAGACTGTGGCTGCAATAGTCTTGATTCGCCAACGCAACAGGATATCTCTCGTTCCGGCTAGCTCGACGCAGGAGACGAATGACGGTGGAATCTGCAAAAACATGCGGATCCTCCGCAACGCTTCGGTCGCCGTATGATCCGGTCGCGAAAGTGTACACCGGTGGAGCCTGGAGGTCTTCAGTGTTCGTATGCCAGACAACCACGGGTGTATGAGCGATGTTCCGAACTCTTGACCGAGGGGATAGCGGCTGCAATAACGGTGGCGGTGATTCTTGATAACGTGTCATGCAGTTCGACAAGTGGCTACTGTAAATCATGGCTGAATATTGTCGAGATGCGTGCGCGGAGACGGGAGGAGTCGAGCAAGACGAGCGACTAGACCCCTACGCTAAGGTATGGTCTGCCAAGCCTGTTCTTTCCCAAACTTCCACGACCTTCCTCACGCGCTCACAGTCCGAAACCATTAGTATGCCCGGCTTCTACTTGGCATTGATTGGATCGACTGTGCTGCATACAAGCCCTATGTCTCTGTCAATCTCGACCATGGTCGCGACTCCCCGGAGCGGACCACTCACAGTGACAATGCATACGCTAGCGACGGGCATACATGCTGTACTCTCTTCTGCACATGCAACTGCAAAGAAATCGGTAGGATGCGAGGAAATTGTCAATATCTCACACAAGCAGAGCAGAGTGGTAAACTCTCGGGTGAGATGAAAGATTACTAGGCGCTATTAAATCATTGCCACGTACTCAAGTAATATGTCGACGCAGAACAGATCGCGTGCTCGATAAGACGTAATTGTTGATCTTGGGAAAGTCGAGCTGCGGTTGGTCGGGCCTTCTGATGCCAGGGCGGTGTGGTGTGTTCAAGCTTATTCATGGATGAAGGTGTGATTTCGCCATCGCACGTGCGCTAGACTAGGCGTGATTGGAGCGTGGATTGCGTGACCGCTGCCCGTGGTAGTCACCACCCAACTTATTGTAGAATGCGTCACCTAGGGTTACACTTTCCCCACATACACCGTGCGGCCGAGACGACGTCCGGGGCGTCGCCTTCCTTATCTATAAAGGAATCCGTGCCCTCACTCCAACAAGAGTTTGCACACCACAAAGCTTCCTACCTTCACCTATTCTCCAGGTAACTGCTCGAAGCAATCTGTCCAAGATACAATATTACATATTCTATCCATTGCCACCACAATATGGCACCAAGTCTCTTGCTAGACCCAGAGTCGCCGCCCTCATCTCATGTCCACGGAGTCAAGCAACCCTTCCACCACGATGGGAGTGTCTCGCTCAAGGACGCCCAGGCTTCTGTCGGCGACGACTTTTCTTTTTCTTCCACAGCCATGAATGGTAATGGTAACGGCAGTGTCAACAGCAACAATGGCTTTTCATCTGGCAATGGTTTCTCAGATGCTCTTCAAGACGGACGCGATTTCGTTACTGCACAAACTCTTCGTCAGCAATCTGAAAGCTATGCAACTCAGACTCGCACCATGGGGGACGGAAAGCGTCCCAACATCCTGTACATTATGGCCGATCAGATGGCTGCACCCATGCTAAAGTTCAATGACCCAGAGTCAGTTATCAAGACACCTCATCTTGATGAGCTTGCCAGGACCGGCGTCAACTTTGCGAGCGCTTATTGCAACTCACCCTTGTGTGCACCGTCTAGGTTCACCATGTGCAGTGGCCAGCTGCCGTCCAAAATTGGCGGCTATGATAACGCTTCTATCCTAAGTCCAGAGATTCCTACCTACGCCCACTACCTCCGCCGAGAAGGCTACGAGACTGCGCTCGCAGGAAAGATGCACTTCATTGGCCCTGATCAGCTCCACGGATTTGAGCACCGACTCACCTCCGACATCTATCCCGGTGACCTCGGATGGTCTGTCAACTGGGACAAGCCAGAGGAGCGCCAGGAATGGTACCACAACATGTCTTCGGTCATGCAAGCCGGACCTTGTGTGCGATCCAACCAGCTCGACTATGATGAGGATGTCATGCACAAGGTAGGAAACTTTGCACTCAAGTAGACGAAATCTTGCTCACACATGCCTCCAGGCCCAACAGTACCTTTACGATTACGTTCGATCAGACCCTGAGACTCGGCGACCTTTCGCTTTGACCATCTCTCTGACCCACCCACACGATCCTTATACCATGATTCAGGAGTACTGGGATCGATATGAAGGCGTCGATATCCCTTTGCCCAAGGTTGAGATCGCACAAGAGAACCAGGACTCTCACTCCAAGCGTCTGCTCCAGACCATCGATCTGTGGGACAATCCTGTCCCGGATGAGGCGAAAATCCGCGCTCGCCGTGCCTACTTCGCCGCGTGCAGCTTTGTCGACGACCAGGTTGGCAAGCTTGTCAGGCTCCTCAAGAACTGCCAGCTAGACAAGAACACCATTATTGTCTTTTCCGGAGACCACGGCGACATGCTTGGCGAGAGGAGCTTGTGGTACAAGATGAGTTGGTACGAGAACAGTGCACGAGTACCGATGATTATCAACGGACCCAACATCGCGCCAAAGAAGGTTAATGAGTCGGTATCAACCATGGATCTTCTACCAACTTTTGTCGACCTAGCTGGTGGACAAGTGGATGAGCGCCTTCCATTAGACGGCTCTAGTCTTCATGACTACCTTGTTTCAGATAAACCAGGCAAGGATGAGGTATTTGGTGAGTACATGGGTGAAGGCACCGTCACGCCCACGTACATGATTCGTCGCAACCAGTGGAAGTTTACCTACTCTCTTGTAGACGGCCCACAACTCTACAATCTCGTGGAAGACCCGCAAGAGCTGCAAGACCTCGCTACCTCGACGGAGCCTCAAAACCAGAAGATGCTAGCCAAGTTTGAAGCCGAGGCGCGCGAGAAGTGGGACTTCAAGACCATCCACAACGACGTTGTGCGAAGCCAGCGCATGCGCCAGCTTGCTTGCAGCGCGTTGAAGATTGGCCGCAAAGAGTCTTGGGACTACCAACCGCCGGCCAATGACAAAGACCGCTTCATCCGTTCCCACATTCCTCTGGATGAGCTTGAACGTCGCGCCCGCTTCCCGATCGTGGATTATCTGGGCCGCGAGAAGTCAGCTTTAGCATCTCATCATGGTCTTGCTGGGGCCAAGGGCCAGTGAGAGTACGCTCCCGTGTTGAGCGCGCATGACGATTTCCTTCTTCGACCAATTTGTGTCGCTACTGATGCTGGATGTCTCCAACATTTCAACACTACTTTGTAGCGTCTTCTCCTTATGTCTTCTAGCGATTCATGGCGTTATGAATTTACGGCGCGGGATGTGTACTGCCGAGCGGTCTGAATGCAGCGTGATCAGAATGAGTCGCATTAGTGGCGTTTGGGAGTATTCGAAGGCGTGTCGTCTTGACGATTTATCTGATATCCATGAGGGCCAGAGCGAGACACAGACGATGATCAGCCTGGCTATCTCTAACAAGTATGATAATAAAAAACTTGATAAGTTATCTTCATCTTGATGTGAAAAAAAGGAATATACTACTATCGAGTGTTCTGGATCAAGTGTTGTGATATTTGAAAGAGGGGATAGGTAATCGCGACGAGCACGATTGGAAGGTTGCGATAAGCTAGGTTTCACCTACACGTGAGGTGGCGTTCGCCTCCACAAGCCGAGTGAGACCGACAGCGGAAGGTGTCAGTGACGCCTGTAACCAACTCGGTGCAACACCAACCTCAGTCACAGCTACATAGACCATCTCTGCACAGATTCAGACGTCTGCTTCTGATCAACCACCTGCAGCTTTGTTCATCGCCCGCGCGCCAACATGTCTACTGCAGCCCGCCGCCGCTTGATGCGCGACTTCAAGGTACGCCGACAGTGCAAGCAGAGCAAGCTCTGGATGCTTGCGAAACATGTTCAGCAGAGCACACAAACTGACAGCAAGTACAGCGCATGCAAACCGACCCGCCTGCCGGCGTCTCTGCTTCTCCAGTTGCAGACAATGTCATGACTTGGTACGCTTCACCGCATCCACCCCGCACGCGACCTCGAGTATGGTGGACATGAAGCCAGTTCCGTGCTTGGAACAGATAGCAGCGGCATGCATACGCATTTTGAACTTTAAAACTGACATGTACACAGGAATGCAGTCATCATCGGCCCCGCTGACACGCCGTTCGAAGATGGAACCTTCCGCCTTATTATGCATTTCGAAGAAGCGTATCCCAACAAGCCGCCGGGTGTCAAATTCATCAGCCAGATGTTTCACCCCAACGTATATGGAACGGGCGAGCTGTGTTTGGATATTCTCCAAAACCGATGGTCGCCCACGTACGATGTCGCGGCCATCTTGACGAGTATTCAGAGGTACGTCAGAGGAGGGCGACGACTGGACTGTGAGCATGGTGCGGGACATGTACTGACAAGCGCAGTTTGCTGAACGACCCAAACACATCGTCTCCTGCCAACGTCGAAGCGTCGAACCTGTACAAAGAGAACCGCAAGGAATACACCAAGCGTGTGCGCGAGACAGTGGAGAAGAGCTGGGAGGATTAAGGGTGCGATTAGAATATGAATATCACGACACGACGGCATGGGATGGAGTTATTACGGGACAGGGACAATGTCATATCTGTTACTGGCAGCTCAGTGGCTTTGATCTCGAGCTTTTCCAGCGTGGCGTTTGGCTCGATGGTTTATATCTTTCAGCGACGTAGCTAATCTACGTCTGTTTTGGTTGGAGCGACTCACCGATGCCCAGTGTCTTTGTTGCTCCACTAACGCAGGGATTCCCGGATTGGTTGTCTTGGGTGCAGTCAGCGCAGAGCCGCATGCTTCCGTGATTGATACTACGACTTGAGTAAATGCAAGCAGACCAGACTTAGATTTAGCAGTAAGCGAGGTTCGCATGCTCAAGCATGCTCCAGGTCAAGTTGCGTCACAGGCGCTGGCTGCGGGGAGGAGGAAGGCGCGCTATGGGCATGCAGACCCTGGCCGATGTATCAACACAAGCCGAAGCCTGCATCTCTACAATAGGTCGGCTTCAACGCAACATCGACTCCCTCACCGCGCGCCCTCGTACTGCTGCTCTCTTTGTTTTTTCTGGTGCGCTGAGCTTGGGATCCCCGGCGTGTACCGAGACCATTTCCGTGGCCGTTTCATCAGTTCCCCTTAACCATAGCGGGGCCTGTAATTACCCACCTCCACGCGCCGAGACAGTCAGGGACGTGACGGTGCCACAACATACCCTCCCGTTGGGGCTGCAGCGACACCTGCACCCAAAGCGCGAGAGCAGCAAACAGAGCGAGGCCTCTGGGCCGCAACGCCTGAAACCCCAGCAATCATGTCGTGAGTAGCTCTGGCGATATCGGCGAAGAGGGGTGAGAGACATGGCTAACAAAATGGGCGACAGGAACACAATCAAAGGTGCGCCCCATACGACAGGTGTACCATTTCATGGAATGACGAGTACTGACGGTAGGACAATGTAGTGGTGGCGCGGTTCCGTCCGCAGAACAAGATCGAGATAGCCAGCGGCGGAGAGCCCATCGTTGAATTCAAAAACGATGACACATGTACGATCCAGGTACGGCATGCCAGCTCCATAGACACATGTCCAAACCAACCAACAAGAGTCGCTGACACCACATGTGTAGTCGAAAGAGGCCTCTGGTGCCTTCACTTTCGATCGTGTCTTCGACATGAACTCCAAGCAGGCCGACGTCTTCGATTACTCTATTCGCCCCACCGTCGACGATATCCTGAACGGATACAATGGAACAGTCTTTGCTTACGGCCAGACTGGAGCGGGAAAGTCGTATACAATGATGGGTAGCGACATGGACGACGAGGTCGGAAAGGGTGTCATCCCACGTATCATCCAGCAGATCTTCGCAAGCATCTTGGCCTCACCGAGCAACATCGAATACACCGTCCGCGTCAGCTACATGGAGATCTACATGGAGCGCATTCGAGATCTCTTGGTCCCACAAAACGATAACCTGCCCGTGCACGAAGAGAAGAACAGAGGAGTCTACGTCAAGGGCCTCTTGGAGGTGTACGTATCGAGCGAGGATGAAGTCTACGAGGTTCTCAGAAGGGGTGGGTCGGCACGAGCCGTCTCAGCAACCAACATGAACGCCGAATCCTCACGATCGCATTCCATCTTTGTCATAACAGTAAACCAAAAGAACGTCGAGACGGGCTCATTGAAGAGCGGGCAGCTCTTCTTGGTTGATTTGGCCGGTTCTGAGAAGGTTGGCAAGACCGGAGCGAGCGGGCAGACCTTGGAGGAAGCAAAGAAGATCAACAAGAGTTTGAGTGCCTTGGGTATGGTCATCAACTGTTTGACCGACAGCAAAACACAGCATATTCCCTACCGAGACTCGAAGCTTACACGTATCCTTCAAGAATCACTTGGTGGTAACTCTCGGACAACTCTCATTATCAATTGTTCGCCAAGTAGCTACAACGATATCGAAACCCTGGGTACACTTCGATTCGGTATGCGAGCCAAAACCATCAAGAACAAGGCCAAGGTCAACGCTGAGCTCAGTCCCGCCGAACTCAAGGCTATGCTCAAGAAGGTGCAAGGCCAGATGACGACGTTTGAAAGCTATATTGGTACGCTCGAAGGCGAAGTGACGCTCTGGCGTCAAGGAGAGACTGTTCCCAAGGAGAAGTGGGTTCCCCCTCTAGAGGTTGCTCCATCATCAGGCAAGAAATCAGCAGCAGCACCGCGTCCAGGAACGCCATCAAGACTGGAAGCAACAAGAAACTCGGAGACTCCAACGCCACGACCAGACTCGCGAATGGACCTAGACCGCGCAGGCACACCAAGCATACCTCTGGACAAGGACGAGAAGGACGATTTCTTGCGAAGGGAAAACGAGCTGCAGGATCAAGTTGCAGAAAAAGAATCACAGCTTGCCAAAGCTGAAGACCAGCTCAAATCTGCCAAAGAAGAGCTTCAGTACTACAAGGAACGGGACGCGAAGACAAACAAGGAGAACGAACGAATGACTATGGAGATCAACGAGATGCGAATGCAGGTTGAGAAGATTCAGTTCGAAAGCAAGGAGCAACAAATCACCATGGACGGATTGAAGGAGGCCAATTCTGAACTCACCTCCGAGCTGGACGAGGTCAAGCAACAACTCCTGGATGCTAAGATGAACGCCAAGGAGACGTCTGCTGCTATGGATGAGAAGAAGAGGAAGAAGGCTGAAGCCATGGCGCAGATGATGGCTGGCTTCGACCTCGGCGGTGAGGTCTTCAGCGATAACGAGCGAACGATACGAAAGATCATTGAGCAGCTAGATCAACTCCATGATATGAGCTCATCTGGCGAAGCGATCGCTCCTGATGCGATCAAGGATATACGAGAGAAGATTGCTGAAACGCAAGGCATTGTACGACAAGCCGAGCTCTCTCTTACTGCACGCAGTGAGGAGGACAGCACATATGCCAAGCGCCGCGAAGCACTCGAGGCACGCTGCGAGACCCTGCAAAGTCAATACGAGGAACTCCTTGAAGGCAACCTCTCAGAGCAAGACAAGGAGGAGCTCAAGGCACGACTTGCCGATGCCTACTCTGCCCGACAAGAAGGCAACCTCGAGCTAGTAGAGAGCCTCAAGCAGGATACTGCACGCATGTTAGAAGAGAACCAGAAGCTCAAGACCGAGAACGAAAGCCTGCAACAGCGCATCAAGAGTGGCGCCATTGCCAACGGTGTCGCAAACGGCATCAACGGCAAGACTGTACAACAGCAAATCGCCGAGTTCGACAACATGAAGAAAAGCCTCATGCGCGACCTCCAGAACCGGTGTGAACGAGTCAGTGGACCATCGAGACTATCTATCGCAGACGTCGTGCTAATAAACTACAGGTTGTCGAGCTTGAAATCTCCCTAGACGAGACGCGTGAGCAATACAACAACGTGCTCCGTACATCCAACAACCGCGCGCAGCAGAAGAAGATGATGTTCCTAGAAAGAAATCTCGAGCAGCTTACGGTTGTTCAGAGACAGCTTGTGGAGCAGAATAGCAGCTTGAAGAAGGAGGTTGCTATTGCTGAGCGTAAACTCATGGCGAGGAACGAGAGAATACAGAGTCTGGAATCTTTGCTACAAGACTCGCAGGAGAAGCTCACGGCAGCCAATCACCGGTATGTCATACTCACCCTTCAAACTACTTTGTCTTGGTACTAATAAACCCCCTCACAGATTCGAAGCCCAACTCACAGCCGTAAAAGAGCGTCTCGAGTCTGCCAAAGCCGGTTCTACACGCGGTCTCGGCTCCCCCGCTGGCGGCGCCAGTTACGCTGGTTTCGGCGGCGTCGGCAGTCGTATTGCTAAGCCTCTTCGTGGCGGAGGTGGCGGACCTGTGGCTGATGGGCCTGTTCTTCCTGTTATTGGTAATCTGCAGAAGCAGGACGGTGACGGAGTGGAGGCTAACAAGGGAAAGAGGACGAGTTGGTTTTTCAACCAGCGGTAGGGGGGATGTGACGAAGACATGAATGGAAGGTGGGATGAATACGAGAAGGCACTTGAGGGTGACGGACTTGGAATGGGATGGGCGTAGGGATTATGGTGGAGGACAAGGTGTTCATGGTGCTCAACGATGGACGAGGAATGGGATGGAATGGGACGGGATGAAGAGCATGCTGAATTGATTCATGCACGCTAACTCGGTTCTTTGGGGCGGGCGTCTTTGGCTTCGCTGCTGCCGCGCTGTTTTGCGTAACCTTTATACCATAGATTCATTATCTTTGAATACCTTGAGAGGGAGTATCCACGCATCGTTCCCCTGATCAGGCTTCCCTCTTCTCCTTCTAAATCATGTAATGCGTATCAGTTGACGTATAGCTAGGCAAGGTTACTTGATCGTATAGGCTACTTGGAAGATCGCCTGTATCTTAACGCGATCCGAACCCCGTCAATCCGCACCAACCCAAGCTCACAGATGCATCACGGAAGATAGCAGCCGCTTGCCAAGTCCACCAATTCCACGTTCCACACTGCGGGGTCATCGAGTTTGGTTTACCGGTAACATACTAGCTACACGAGTAGCTATTTCTTCACGATGTCGCTAGGATCGAGTCAGTCTTGACATGCGCCACCCTGGGCCCAGATCATCACCACGCTAAAGTTGCTATCAATTCCCCGCACTCACTGACGGCACTACCCCGGATTTCGCTTGTATTAGACACGATAGTTAGGGTGAGTGGGTCGAATGTGGGCTCCAGATGCGCTTTACTGGGCAGCTGAGATGCGTCAATTGTGCTTTTGAGGAAGCCAAGCTGAAGGGGTGGGAAGGCATTTCCAGGATTGTGGGGTCGACATGGATCAGCTTGTGGTAGGAGAAGAGAAAGCAGGGATGGATGCAGATATAGGACGGGACCTGTCTCTGTTGTTTGGGGGTTTATAGAAGACATCTGTAAACTCAACACATCTTCCTCGCAATCGTTCAACAAGCTTAATAAAAACAAACACAAACGGCTGAATTCATGGCTTCGGATACTATCCACCACGACTATGACAACGAAAAACAGCAAGTCGGTCATCACATCGAACATGCAAACACTCATACCACCAACGACTCTGCCTATGACCTGCAGCAAGAAGTCACCCTCTCGGGTGTGGATATGAAGAATAGCCATGCACTCAAGGGAGACGATTCAGATGGCAAGGTAGAGTGGAGTGTGCGAAGTATCTTCGCTGCCATTTTCCTTGCGGCACTATATACAGGTCCGTCTCCTTTCCTCATCTCGCCAATGCCATTCAAGGTATCGAACGAAAGATATGTATACTAACACTCGGCCTTTGCAGGCTCCCAGGTAATCCTGTACTTTACCGGCGGCTCCCTTTCCTTCATCGAAGAAGATCTCGGTCTAGCACGTGGATCTGCCTGGCTCCCCACTGCTAACATTCTTGCCATTGCCGCTGTTTGCCCGTATGCAGGCTACCTTCAGGACCTCTTCGGCAAACGCTACATTGCTCTTTTCGGATCGTTTTGCATCTGTCTGGGATGCGCATTGATGGGTAGTGGACACAGCTTTGGACAGTTGTTGGCTGGTATGGCGATCTCCGGTGCTGGGGCTGCCACGGGGGAATTGACAGGGCTTGCTGGGTATGTATATGACAAGACAAGGGTAGATCGTTACAGAACTGGACTGACATGGGGATTTAGACTTGCAGAAGTAGTTCCCGTCAAGTACCGGGGTTACTCTCTTGCTCTCGTTACAGCTTTTGTCTTGCCATTCTGCCCCTACCTACTTTACGTGGAACTCTGGTCGCACAACGACGACGGCATCGGTTGGCGCTGGGGACCTTGGTGCGCGCTCATTTTCAACGGTATCGTTGGCATCGGTCTCGCCTTGACGTACTTTCCTCAGAACCAGTCGCGCGGCGATGGCTTCTCTCGACGAGCAATCTTGAAGCGTATAGACTACATCGGTGGAGTTCTATCCATCACGGGACTCACTCTGTTCCTCGTAGCCCTTCAGTCAGGCGGCTACACACACCCCTGGGCCTCCGCCTATGTTCTGTGTACCATGCTCATCGGTCTAGCTCTAATCGCCGCTTGGGTGGTCTATGAAGCCAAGTACGCCCCTTATCCCATGGTTCCTGGCGAGCTCTTCAGCGGCCAACGCATCGTCGCTCTCGCATACATCATCGCTTTCTCCGCCGGCATGAACTTCTTCTCTATCCTCAACTTCTTCCCCGTCACCTTCAGCAGCGTATACACGCCAGTACCTGTCTCTATTGGACTCCGCGGCTTGGGTCCTGCTCTCACTACAGCCGTCGGTGCGATATTTTTCAACGCCGCACTGTCTCGCTTTCCAAGTCACACAAGAGAAGTACTGTTGTTAGCTGTGAGCATTATGACGGGATTTGCAGGAGCACTGGCGGTCATGACTCCGGACAATGAGCGTGTAGTCTTGTTTCTAGGATCCATGGCTGGGTTTGGTGTGGGTGGCGTACTGGTGCCTGCTGCGACAGTCGCAATGCTTGTTTGTCCTGATGCGCTTATCACCACTGCTGCTGCCCTGTCGCTGTCTATCCGTACGGTTGGCGGAAGTATCGGGTACTCCATCTACTACAATATCTTCGCAGGAAAACTGACGACCAATTTACCCAAGTATACGGCGCAGTACGCGATCCAAGCTGGTCTTCCAATGGAGAGTGTGGAGGCCTTTGTTGGCTTGTTCCTTACGGTGCCGGAGGAATTGGCTACGACGAATATCGTAGGTGTTACACCAGCTGTAATCCAGGGCGCAACGATAGGAACGCGGTGGGCATACAGCGAGAGCTTGAAGTATGTTTGGGTAAGTGCATAGCGTTTTTTTTCATCGTCCTTCCTGTATCACGGAGCTGACATAGCCGGACGTTCTAGTTTACGAGTATTGCTTTCGGCAGCATAGCGATTGTGTGCACGCTTCTGCTTCCGAGTACCAAGAAGTACCAAACGAACCGCGTTGCTGTGCGAATCTGATTTGCCAAGACAGCACATGAGATGAGTTACTTGGAGATCGGATTTCGAGTAATGCGCCCACAAGCGCGACATATATGCGAGTTCTTCTCGGCACTCGCTGAACGCGGATCTTACAATAGGCTTCATATGCATTCTTTAATATGAGTTCCTTCCCGTGCACATCGTGAGACTGAGAGCGGCGAAAATTCCCTGTCTATCTTCAAAAGGCCTGCTTCTATCATTGGGCGCGTCACTTTGCATTCGCATCGTCCGCGATCAAAGCCTCGACATCTCGTTCCATAAGCCAGCTGCGAACACCCTCCATGACCTTCTCCAGTGTTTGGCCGCCTCCCATCACGTCGTCTAGATCATGCACGGTGGTTCCACTCCTGTGATCGGTAACTCGCTGCTGGCCCCAATTATAGGTCCGCACCTTGTCACCGCGACCCATCTTCGCCACGCCAATAACGCTTCGTCGCATGTTCGCCATCTCCTCTTCGCGCTTCTCTCGTCTTGATTGGGCAATGCGTGAGCGTAGAAGGGCCCAGGCCTTTTCTTTGTTCTTGTGCTGGGATCTAGAATCTTGCATCGCGACCACTGTGTTTGTGGGGATATGCGTTAGCCGAACGGCTGACTCTGTTTTGTTGACGTGCTGTCCACCAGCACCGCTCGCCCGCATGACTTCCAACTTGACCTCCTTCACGTCGATGTAGTAGTCGCTCTCGGGGTCGTCGAAGTCCTGCTCCTCTGCAGAGTTTTCTTGTAGACTAGGTAGCACGTGTACAGATGCCGCGCTCGTGTGCGTACGCCCTTTAGTTTCAGTAGCGGGCACCCGTTGAACGCGATGCACACCTGCTTCACATCGGAAAACGCCATATGCGCCGTCGTTCTCCACCTCGATGATCGCTTCGGATAGCGGTACTCCAGCCTCAGTGGTGCCGTTCACGTTTTCGTACTTGAGGAGGTTTGTGCGAAAGCCATTTCGGTTGCAGAAGGCAGAATACATGCGGAAAAGGTCTCCAGCGAATATAGCTGCTTCTGAACCGCCAGCACCAGGTCGTATTTCCAGAAGACATGGTAAATGTGCGAAGGGGTGTACGGGTACCAGAGAAATGATTAGGTTTTGTGAAGCGTTCACGAGCTGCGTTCGTGTCTCCCCAAGATCGTCGGAAGCGAGCGATCGTAGTTCGGGGTCGGTTGAGGCGTCGTGTATCATCGAAGTGAGCTCTGTCACAGACTTAGTCCATATCAGCTACTCTATTGCTCCTGCAGGCTGCTGTATGGTGCTCACCTCATTCGCTTTATCCCACTCCCCTAGTGCGTTCACGATGGGGCTGTATTCGCCCAGCTTCTTCGCAGCGCGCGTATCGAAGCCATTAGAGAGTTGTTCAGTCAACTCTTTGTGCTCTGTAACAATTGCGCGGGCTCTTGAGAGCAGGGCTGGTGGTATCGACTCAGATGTTGCAGCTATGCAATGTTAGTGAATTCCGCAAAATCGGCAACCATAACACACACCATTACTCTGAAGGCGGATGCTGCGTTTCAGCAGCGGGCGGCTGATGCGCGATAAGCAATTGCGACATATCCAGGATGTTGTGAGCATAGTCGTCGAGATATGTAAACTTCGCATCTGATGAATTTGTCGATGTTCAACGCGTTCCGATCGGCTCGGAACGTGTGCACGTGACACTTATTACTCCATCCCGGCAGATGTCAACGGACTACACCGCTTTACCACCTTCCTCTTACAGAGATGTCATGGCGATAGTCGGTGCCGCTGCGTTATGCTCCGAGGCGATTGTCGAGCGAAATCGGCAACCCGAACCGCAATAACTATCTCCGGGGATAACCGTGGGCCACTACTTAGTCCACGGGTAGGTATACATGACAGCTTCCCCATACCCCACTCTGGCATTCAAGCTGGTGTGTTCGACTACCAATGCCTACCCCACGACGAAGCAAGAGGACCAAAACCCACCACGAGCCTGAAACAGAGCAGCCAGCAGAAGCCAAGATGAACTTCATCAATCTGGGTACTCACAATGTCTATCCCCATCCTGAGCCTCAGTTTGTACACTTTGCCAGTCGACGTTCGGTCGTACATAGCACCAAAGGCATCGTATCTTGCACGCAGCCCCTAGCGGCTGCTGCTGGAATCGAGATTCTGAGGAAGGGCGGAAATGCGGCTGTATGACGTAATCTATCACCAGTTCCGTTCAGTACTGATAGCAATCAGGATGCAGCGGTGGCTGTCGCGGCGGCAATCAATGTTACAGAACCAGGATCAACAGGTATTGGCGGGGACATGTTCTGCCTCTACTACGATGCGAAGACAAAGAAAGTATCTGCCATGAACGGCTCCGGACGGACGGGTGCGGATGTCACGCTGGAAAAGGTCAGAGAGGACCTCAATCTCGCAGAGGGACAGAGCGGCCAGATTCCCATGGATCATGTACATGCAGCCACAGTTCCTGGCGCGGCAGCAGGATGGGTCGATTGCGTTGAGCGGTTCGGCAGCGGAAAGGTCAGCATGGAAGACGTGCTTGCGCCTGCCATCGATCTCGCAGAGAATGGTTTCCCGGTCTCTGAACTGTCCGCTACTTTTGTAAGCTCTAATATGTCCCGTTATCAGATGACGTTCTGACAATTTGAAGTGGAAGGCTAGCGAGAAAGACCTCCTGAAAGCATCTCCTAACGGCCGCGAGATGCTCAAGGATGGCCGAGCACCCAAAGCTGGAGAGATCATGAAGAATCCAACGATTGGTAATACCTTTAAACTCCTGGCCAAGCACGGAAAGAAGGGATTTTACGAAGGAGAAGTAGCTGAGCAGCTCGTAAAAGTGGTGCAAGATCTTGGTGGCTATCTTACTCTAGATGATCTCAAACATCATGCAGAGACTGGATCCGAGCCGGTTGACCCAATTTCGCTGAAGTTTTACGGTCAGAAGGTTGGAAACAGGCCACCACCCGAGGGCGGCATTGAGTTATGGGAACATCCACCGAACGGCCAGGGAATCGTTGCTTTGATGGCTCTAGGCATTATCCAGGAGCTGGAGAGACAAAAGAAGATTCCGATATGGAGTGTGAACGATCACAACAGCACGGCATATCTCCATACAGTCATCGAGGCATTGCGAATCGCCTTCTGTGATGCTCATTGGTTTGTCACCGACCCTGATGTTGTCAAGGTACCATCCGCCGAGCTGATCTCGCAAAAATATCTTTCCGAGCGCGCAAAGCTCTTTGATGCAAAGAAGGCCATTTCAGCGCCCGTCCATGGTTCTCCAGCACACCTGCAAAGCGATACCGTTTACTTCTGCTGTACCGACCCTGAGGGCAATGCCATTTCCTTCATTAACAGCAATTATGGCGGGTTTGGAACGGCGATTATTCCCAAAGGCTGCGGTTTTACCCTCCAAAACCGTGGTGCAAACTTTAGTCTTGATAAAGACCACCCGAACGTACTAGCACCGAGAAAGCGACCATATCACACAATCATTCCAGGCCTGACAACATACGTCAGCGACGGTAGCTTGCACTCCGTGTACGGCGTGATGGGTGGATTTATGCAACCCCAGGGTCATGTTCAAGTCCTCCTCAACCAGGAGGTCTTCAAGCTCAATCCACAAGCTGCACTTGATTCGCCGCGTTTCTGTATCGGTGCGGGTATGCCGAGCGCCGATGGCAAAATGACTGATGCGACGATATACCTAGAGGAAGGCATTGATCCAAAGGTAGTGGAAGAGTTGCGAGCACTTGGCCATAATGTAAAGCAGCTGGACGGTTATGGACGGGGCATGTTCGGACGGGGCCAGATCATCAGGAGACATGTAGATGACGGCGTACAGGTCTGGAGTGGAGGTAGTGATCTACGAGGTGACGGACACGCGGTGCCGTTGTAGACAGCCTTTCTCGACTCTGCTGTGTCAGCATTAGAGAAGAATTAACTCAGTTCCATGCATCTTTTGACAAGCTTTTAGACATGCCACGTATCTTCATACAACCATGATCCTACACACTATCTCTCGCATCGCGTGTGGCTGATCCGTTTCGCTCGAAGAACAAAGGAACCAGAGGACAACCCTTACATAACGATGTGGCGGAACTGTGAAACACGAGCGTAATATCCATCCTCAGCAACTGTGCCGCATTCAGAGTCAACTTAGCTAGTGACAGCTAATCAGCTTATTGGCAGGATGGCTTTACACCTAGCAGTACGATGTGCCACAATCCACTGTGCTGGTTTTCAAAGGGCAGATCGCGCCTCTGCACCGCATGAAACCAAGTTAATCACCGAATGTGGCCATTGCTCTGGCGTAGTTGTGAGGTGGCATGAGTATGAGCACATGCCGCGATGGGGAATCACATCGCAAATACCCAGGTACACCGCACTCATGTTCTTCCCATTGCCTCTCCATCACGACTACTTCCTACCTGGAACCATGGCACCTCAGTGTGGCCCTTCGATCAGATACGATGCCCTATCCTCTATAAACTCCTACAGTCTCTTTCCTACTAGTCGAAAACCTCCTTCTATCAGATCTACGTGCCACCAGGAACCAGCCACAACAGTCGCCTGGACTACATCCAAACACGTGCAACCTTACACCACCTCTAAATCTTCGTCGCCTACACGAGCAAATATGTCACGCGGAACACAATTCTCACGACTCTTGTCTTCTCGTCGCCGCACTGCTCCTCGTCGAGACCAACGTATCCAGCGCATCCATGTACCCGCCGGATACCAATCACTAGACTTCTCAAGCTGGGAAACCTATTCAGAAACAGCTCGAGAACTTCAATTATACGCATGAAGAAAAGAGCAAAGTGGTATCATTCTCGCTAGCAAAGAAATGAAAAGAAAAG